GCATCCAACTTTGGCATGTATATGAGATTATTGAAAAAACCATGACTTTGGACCTTAGACCTCAAACTGACATCTTTGCTCTTCAACACATAAGAGGTCTTGTGCAGTACATTTTCCTAATGCAGTATGTCATTTGGTTTATTGACTGCTTCCATGAGTGTTGATGGTTAATCCAAGCAAAATGACGTCTTAGACAATGTCTGTCTTTTCTCCATTTATATGGATGTTTTTTATTGGTTCAGAGGTGAGGATTTTTGTTTCCTTTACATTGAGATGCAATACATACTGAAGACTGTGGTCTTTAATCTTCATCAGTATTTTAAGGTTGTATCATCTGCATATCGCAGATTGGTAATGAGTCTTCCTCCAATCCTGACGCTACATTTTTCATATAATCCAGTTTTTTGGATTATTTGTTCAGCATACAGATTGAATAAATAATGGTGACAGACTACAACCCTGGTGCACACCTTTCCTAATTTAAAAGGTGTTTCCTTGTTCTGTTTGAACAACTGCCTCTTGGTCTATGTACAGATTCCTCATGAGCACAATTAAGTGTTCTGTAATACTTGTACTTCTCCATGTTGTCCATAGCTTGTTATCATCTACACAATAGGAAGCATTTGCATAGTCAATAAAGCACAGGTAAACATATTTCTGGTATTCTCTGCTTTCAGCCAAGATCCATCGGACATCAGTAATGACATCCCTTGTTCGACGTCCTCTTCTGAATCCAGCTTAAACCTCTGGAAGTTCTTTGTCAGTATATGTTTGCAGCTGCTTTGGCATTATCTTTAGTAAAACTTTACTTGCATGGTATATCAATGGTATTGTCTGATTATTTCTGCATTCCTTTGGGTCACCTCTCTTTGGAATGGACATAAATACAGATCTTTTCCAGTCAGTTGGCCAGGTAGTTGTCTTCCAAACTTCTTGGCATAGATGTGTGAATGCCTCTAGTGTTGCATCAGTTTGTTTTGAATTTCACTTTGTATTCCATCAATTCCTGGTGCCTTGTTCTTTGCCAATGCACCTTGGACTCCTTTATTCAGGATCATTGTCTCTTGATCATATGCTACCTCTTGAAATGGCTGAACACAGACCATTTCTTTTTGGTACAGTGACTCTGCGTATTCCTTCCATCTTCTTTTGATGCTTTCTGCATCATTCAGTATTTTGCTCATAGAATCCTTCAATACCACAAGTCGAGGCTGGAATTTTTAATTAGAGAAATAAAAATAAACATTCCTCAGGCCCATTTAAGACATTAGCGTGTGTGAAAAAACTTTCTGGGAAGAAGGCTGAAAGTCTATTTTATTACCTAAAAAATGGAAGACAGCTAAACTGTGGTATTATTCAGTGTTCAATATCACTGTTTAGTATCATGTAGCTTAATAGAGATCTTGAAAAAATACAACAGTCACTGACTTTATTTCAATTCTGAGATTTTTATTATCTTATTTAAAAACTATAACCTGAGCATTTTCCTTTATATTCTAAAAGATACTAATCTCAGATAATTATATTAATCAGTTGCTTAAAATTAGGTAATTATCTAAGGAGCTCTGGTAGCATAGTGGTTACGAATCGGGCTGCGAACCTTAAGGTCAGCGGTTCGAAACTACCAGCTGCTCCGCGGGATAAAGATCAGGCTTTCTACTCCCGTAAGGATTTACACCCTCAGAAACCCTGTACAGGGTCGCTATGGGTCAAAATTGACTCGACGGCACTTAACAACAACAACATTGCTACTATGTGTGTTTTCAAAATGGCTTTTGATTTTTTTTTTAACCTATCTTGCAATTATCAGCGGTGTGTGTTTCCTTAACATACCAGACCCTATGATGCAAATAAACTATCTCAGATGTGTTAAAATATATTTGTGGATCAAACTTAAATGATTCATATCCAGAATTTATGAAGTTCTCTCAAATCAGAGAGGCATATGGATGACATGATACCCTTTGAGTGGGTATGTAACATAGTACCACAGCTTTGGAAAAGTGTGGCCTTTTCTTATAAACAGAGTAAGCAGAAGAGCCACCCCAAGAAAAACAAAAACATGGTCACACATAAACGTGTACATGAATGTTTATGCAACTTTATTCATCACCAAAAACTGGAAAGAATACGAGTTTTGACTGATGAAAGAAAAAGGAAATACAGATAGTCACAACACAGATGAATCCTAAATGCACTCTAAGTGGAAGAAGCTAGACTAGAACTACATACTAATCACTGTAGTACCACCTTCAGACATTCTGTAAAGGACAATACATACTACAAAGGTGAGAAAGAAACCTACCAGTGGTTGCCCTAGGTGTTTGCCACAACTCGTAGTTTTACACACCAAAGAGTGAACTGTATATAAATTTTAAAACAAAATGTTAAAGCATCAGTGACACATTATGGTAACAGCAATGGAACTGTGGCATTTTTTTTTTTAAATACTGTACATGCAAGCAGCCAAGTTGAGAGGATGAAACTGCTCTATTTTAGGAAGGTAATTTCATTAGTTCCTCCTTCACAGCATCATACTTCCTCTCCTTTCTTTTGTTGTTCCTCCTTAAACGCTAGACTTCCTAGAATGGGAGTATTCCAACAATTAAGATTAAAAAAAATAATAACTCCCGGGATTCTAGAAAAGTTCTATTTTTAGTAGGCTAATGTTTATAAATCTTGTTTTATTAAATTTTTGATTCAATGGTTATGTCAATTTTTAAATTGTAACCTGGTAACATTACGGTAATGAAATTTTCTGGTGCTGAATTGTACTTGCTTTCCTGTGAAAGTTTTACTGGATCATAATGCATTATATACCACTGTTTCACTATTTAGGATTCTTGAATCTATATTCTCTTGCCTAATGTCCCTGATTTTATACTTCTCACAACCTATAGTTGAGAATCGTGGTATGGCACTGCAGCTTAATTCGCTGGACTGCAAAGTCGATTTGATCTGCAAGGTCAGCGGGTCAAGCTTAGCAGCTGCCTCTTGTAAACCCTATACAGGGATGCTGAGGGTTGGAACTGACTCGACTGCACTTTAACAACCAACTATAGTTAGTCTGTTGCTGTTTCATGGATGTTGACAGAGAAGAAACTTCTGAGTCACACAAATGGCTTTGCTGCTCACAGTATAATAAGCAGCACAAGAATTATCTATAGCAGTTTCCCTGATTCCCAAATCCCACAGGAGGGCTGTGGTAAGATGCTGCACATGTAGCAGATGAGGACCACAGACCTTAAGGAACCTACCCTATCCTTCAAAGTTGTTCATCAACAGTTCAGAATGTTAGGACCTTACAGTCTTGATATATCCAGCAAAGGGGTGCAGGAACTTCTAGCGCCCAATGCAGACTTATTCTCCCAACAAGGTTTTGGTGTCAAGGTTTTTACCCTAAAGTCTATGAACACAATGAGCTTTCTCTTTCTTCCTCATCCCAGAAACTATTTGACATTTGAGAGACATAAGTGTTCCTTGCAGGTTTGGTAAAGTTCACTATAACTTGGCCTGTGCCTCGGCAGTGTAAATGGAAGATTTTAATGTGGTGATTACGTTTTTAAAAATAGTCATTGGTTTTCTATTTTTTCTAGTGTGAACATTTATACTTCAGAAAAGTTGCATTAACTTCTCAATTATATAGGATGTTTTATGATTTTTTGATTCTGCTTGATTTTCCAATCAAGATACTATTTGTGATTTTCTGTTTCTAATCAATCTTTTTCACTCCCTTTCGAAATACCAACTTTTAGCCATATTCTACAGCACCTGCATTTTCCTCTTAATCAATTCCCTTGCATTTCCCCTCTCCCCACTAATGGGTCTGAACTGGCCTGGGAACCATGGTTCCTATTCATTCTGTTTTTCTAGTTGGTGTAGCACACCTCCCACCCTCTGAATTTCCATGAAAGGACTAAGCTAAGTCTCTCTGTGTTCTTCAAACTCCTAGAAAAACATCTGCAGGCATTCTAAGAAATCCTTCACCTTGCATTGGTATTCAGTTAGGCCTGTGGGTTTCTAAAGCAGAGTCGTCACTCAGCCAGAAAATGAAATGCCTCATCTTATCCCTGCAGACATCCGTAATCCAAGTCATTCCCCCGTTATCCCTACATTCGTTCACTTGGTTTAGGCAACAGGAATGCTGGTTCAATGATCTCTTAATTAAACCCTCCTAGAGGGTGGGGTGAAGTCCTAAGTAGTGTTTTCCTTTAGAATGGAGAACACTAATGTTTCTTGTCCTGCATTAGGCTTGGAACACTGTAGGCTTTTTTAAATTTTTTTTTAAGACCTACATTTTCTGAAATGTTCTTTGTGATGAAGAATTTACAAATTGTATAAGGCCTCTCAATAAAACAATGTAATTGATGAATACACTACAATCAGGAGTGTACTTCAAAAAACCAGACACCTGCATCAAACTTTACATGGGGAATTTATTTTTTAGAAAAGCAACATCTAGAGAATGCCACAGATAGCCCTAGTATTTCTATAGTATTATAAAATGACAATTGTTCATAATGACAACACTGGAACTCTGAAAGACACCAAAGTACTTTCTGAATCAAAGAAATCAACTTACACTCAGTATGGTTTTAATATTCTTGACCAGGTCAAAGTTTTAATACTCTGACATTTGGTAAACCAAAACACCAAATTAATCATACAAGTCCTTACCCAGGTCTTCTGACAATACAAAGATTTACTTATTATACTTACACCTGACATGTTTCTATGCAAATATTTTTAAATTTTCACTTTCTTAGTCAATTAACATAATGCTTCAATTCATTACATAAATTTAGACTTCTCTATTACACAGTTAAATGTACAACTGAATTAATATATAAAAGTGCTCACTGTGTTTTTACCAGAACATTAATACTCTGAATGCAACCTATTTTAATTTTGCCTTTTTTCACTTAAATGTTTTCCTCCTTTTATTTTATAATCAGTTTCATTTTTAAAGCGAATCTATGCCTCTTCTATTCTCACAGATTCTTCTCTTTTTCTCCCTATTTTCCTAACTTAAATTCAGTACAAGTTACAAGTTTCCCTGGTATCTTCAGCTTTGGCTACATTCTCATTCAACACCAGCAATTCATAGGTTTCAAATTCGGCATGGGAATTACTCTGTTAAATTAGTTCTAGAAAAAATATTAAGGACATTTTTTTCCTGAAATATACAGAACATGTCATGCCAAAGCTCTAGTTTATACAATAAACTGGTAGTATTGGTGAATTGCACATACAGCTTATATTCCCAAAACAGAATAACTTAAATATTAAAACGTACCTTTGTGTTACTACCATAATTGACCTGATAAGCACAACGAAGGACAATATTCAATACAACTTTAAAGACCACACTAACCATAAATGGTGAGCATTCCAGCACACAAATTCCCATCTCCTTATGACCTATTTAAACTATAGCTGGCAATGCTTTTGTAAGCTACTCTAGCATTTATACTGTAATTAGAAATTTATACGAAACACAATTTTATGCTCAAATACGGAAATTAGCAACATAATTCCAAAACCTAAAAGTATCCCAGCATTCTGTAAAAAGAAATATCCCCAGCGGCTACATCCATGGTCACTAGCATCATTATGCAGCATCTCAGGGACCTGAGGGGAGTATGGATAAAAAGAACATTAAACTTTCCAAAACTAGAGATTACTTTTGAAACATTTTGCAGGATAATATACTAGAGCTTAATCGGCAACTAGATATGCTATGGTACAATTTTTGAAAATATAACCACATATACAAGCTGATCCTAGCTAATAATATTACACAGTATTTCCTAGCAGTTTAATTTACAGTTTAATCACGGTGTGCTGAGTGGATCCACATTCATATTGTTTGCTTTGTTACTACCAGTGTATCTGAAGTGAATATAGTATGTGGCTCATTTGAAGTTCAATAGAATCCTTACTCTGTATAAAATCTAATCTTAGTAATTATTACTGGCTCGGATTATTATGTGGACTTTGGTGATAAAGCAAGTATGATTCCTTTGTCGGTTACCAAGCAATCTTTAAGCATTTTGAAGTATATATCATGCTAGCAAGATGAGGAGGCTTCAAACATTTGTGGAAAAATTCCATGATCTATTCATTCCATTTTCTCACAAACTTTTGAAGCACCCTTGCATATTGTCTGTGCTAGATTTCCTCTAAATCTATAAGCAATTCAATGCATGATTACTGAGATTCTACTCTCAGAAAGATACATCAGAAGCAGCCAGTTATTTTCGTGCACCCTGATACATGTTAGGTGAGATAGAAGTATGCTTGTGATCAATAATCCAAAAAGATAAACACTTAAGGATGCTATACTGAGGACAGAAAAGAAAAAAATAAAGAACACTTCCCATTACTACTGAATTTAATAGAAAATGGGTTTTTTTTTGTTTTTTTTTTTAATGAGATTGAACATTTTCTCTATTTCATTGTTAGGAATATAATTTGACTTTTAAAAACTTACCATATCAACGAGAGCAACATACATGAACAAGCCAGCAGTAAGTGCAAATATCCACATAGAAACATTTTCAGCATAATGACCAATGAAAATTCCTGTTGCCATTCCAAGATATGCCAGCATGGCTGACAAAGCATTATAAAGAACAGCCTGCTTAACAGTCATGCCAGCCTTGAGTAAAACAGCGAAGTCACCTTAACAGAAAACAGATTATGGGATCAAAGAATTAAATGATTTTTTACAGACACATATTCAAGAGATTTCCCAGATTTAAGAAAATTCTCCAATTTTTAAAAAGAAACATAAAAAAATAAAAATCAGGGACAGCAAAATCAATCACTCTAATGAGGAGCTCTGGTAGTATAGTGATTATGAGTTGGGTTGCTAATCTCAAGGACTGCAATTTGAAACCAACAGTTCTTCAGGAGAAACATGAGGCTTTCTGCTCCTGTAAAGATTTAAAGCCTCAGAAATCCTATATAGGTTCACCATGACTTAGAACCGATTCCAGAGAATATAACCAACCAATCACCCTAACAACTCTATAAACTAACATGCAATTTTTCTAAGGTTTTCCGTAAAACTTCCAATTATGTCAATGAATGATAAATATCAAGAACTTAACACTGAACATAATACTGTCTTCAAGGAGATTATGAATGGCTAATGGGGAAAAGAGAAGTGAAAAATACACACGAGATTATTAGCAAATGATAAAGGCAACATAATTAAGAGCCAAAGAGTCTAGTGTTAATAGTTATTGAAGGAGGAAGGAGATAAAGGTGGTAATAGTTAATAGAGCTTTCATAGAGCACGAAAGATTAAAACATGGAACAATAAATCAGACATTGAAGGATTACAAGCACTGAGTAGAGAGCTAAGAGGACTTCTGAATGGCAGAACACATGGTAAGGAACAAAAATGAATATGGCATCAGGAGTATGTGACTACAAGAAAAAAGTGAAAGACATGAACTGGGATCCAGAAGAACCCTGGGAAAGCGTGAGGGAATTGACAGAACTGGTAAGCTAACAAGTTGTTGTTAAGTGCTGTCAAGTCAGTTTCAACTCATAATGACCCTGGATAGAGTTTCTGAGGAGCTGCTCGTAGGTTTGAACCACCAAACTTGCTGTTAGCAGTCTAGTACTTATCCAATACTGTCACATGTGTAAAGCCGTGGTGACAGAGAAAAATGTTTAAAACACAACTCATCCATTTCCTTTTTCATAATATCCAATGAGATTCTCTATCTTCTTTCTGTTAATGGAAAATGATTCTTTTGTATCCTATGATCTTAGTGTGGAATATAGATCTGGTAGGGGATGAAGGAGATCTAGGTACCTTTCTGGCAACCCCACATAAGTAGTTATGTATTGCATTGGGCAAATCTTTGGCAAAATACCTCTTTAAAAAAGTTCAAGAACAAAGATGCCTAAACCCAAATCATGGTATTTTCAATTCCCTCAAATGCACATTTGGACAAGTTGGAAGGCTGCAGAAGAATTGATATCTTTGAATTACAGTGTTTGCAAGAATACTGAAATTACCATGAACTGCTTTAAGACTGAACAAATCTGTCTTGGAAAAACTACAACCAGAATGCTCCTATGAAGTAAGGGTGGTGAGACTTGGTCTCACGTACTTTGGACATGTTGTCAGGAGGGACCAGTCCCTGGAGAAGGGCATCATGCTTGGTAGGGGACCAAGCATCGAAAAAGAGGAAGACCCTCAACAAGATGGACTTAATGGGCTAAAACAACAAAAACTGTGAAGATGGCAATGTTTTGTTCTGTTGTATGTAGGGTCACTATGAGTTGGAACTGACTTGACGGCATGTAACAAAAATAGTACTAATAAGGGCAGAATTTTGACTGGAAACAAACTAGTACTCTGTAGGAAAAAGTGAACTACGGCAGCGATTTACAAGAAGTCATGAAAGTTATAAGGAACTTTGCTGCAACCACCACCAGCAGAAACCGCTCCACCCTACTAGCAAACAGAGTTTATATGGTACACTTACCTAATTCATGAGGCAACTCATGACAAAACACAGCAACAGAAGTACTTAAACCACTCGATAAACCTTCAGTAAAAGCAGCACCTAGGTATAAAAAAAAAAAAAGCTTAGAAAACTTCAGTACGTTTCATTGGTGTCCAAGAAATCATGTAATTAAGACTTGTCTGCAATCATTCTTTCACCATCTCATAAGGAATATCTCAAAGAGCTCCCTCTTTTTCAAACAGCAATGATACAGCTGATCAGTTTAACAAGTGACTTCACTTGTATACCCCTCTCAGCCGCCTTCTCTTGTGTACAGTACAGTTGGGGAAAAGCCCCCGATGGCTGCTCTACCTCATTACTCAACACGTATGCTGGGCAAGTGGCTGTCACCTTTCCGGGCTTCAGCTACTTCACGATTTTTATAATTATGGCTGGTTCCTCCCAGCAGCAAGTTCCTAGAATTTGTAAGCTTTTTATTATGTCCCAGTGATGGCCCAACAATTTAATAGCAAAGACTCTGTAATTCTTCTTTGAATCCAGGCTGGTAACTGAACTTAACAAATATGAGGGGACTTCAAAATGTTCATGGAAAATTCATTATCTTTTAGTTCCATTTTTCCCCATGAACTTTTTGAAGTCCTTTGTATACAAAGTCCTTTATCATAAAAATAAAGGATGATGGCAGCGATCCTTTTATCTTGATAAACTTTATACAGTAAGTGTTGTTACTGTTAAGTGCCGTTGAGTCGATTCCGACCCATAGCGACCCTGTATAAGGTTTCCAAGAAGCGGCTGGTGAACTTGAACCACTGACTGACCTTGGGCTTTGAACCGACTTTGCAGTCCAGCACATTAGCCCACATCGCCACAATAAATATGGACACTTAAATGTATAGAGAAAAAACCTTCATATACATTCCAAGTTAAAGCTTGATATCAAGATTTGCAACTTAAGAACAAGCTTTGATAGTTACAATGTAGGTAAGGGTCTCTCTCGGAGTACAGTACCTAATCATATCTGTCTAATTTACTGACTATTGTCAAAGTAGCCAAAGAAAATATAACATTCTGACTCTGTTGGAAGTCAAAATTAGCCTTATCTCACCAACCTATTCTGTGTCAAAATTTGACTGGTAGTTTAATGTGACATTCTCAGAGCTAACCAACAAGGAACAGTAGTAGATGAATACCGATTGCTAGGCCGTCGCTGAAATTATGCAAGCCATCACCCATTATCACCATCCAAGCCAACGTGGCAATGCCAGCATCTTTTAGCTCCTCCCGGGAGTAACGCTGACTGTGGCTGTGAGGGTGGTGGTTTTGGTGGTGGTGGTGATGGAGAATATGATGGTAGTCATGATGGTGGTGAATGAGATCATCTGACTGGCCGAGTGTGTCATGAAAATGTGAATGGCATTTGTTCTTGCACCCTCTGGGTACATATTCATTGTAGACTTCTTGTGGATGAGCATGAGCTATCATGACCTCTTCCTCTTCCAAGACTGCTGGCTGCTGAGAAGTAAAGTGTGCGGGCTCTTGAGCATCTGCTTGTAGACAGCCTTCAGGTCCTAGGTAAAAACATAAAGAACATCGGAACAAAGTCAGAAGGCTTTTTAATGTACTTGAATCATCTCAAACATTCCTACGGACAAAATCAACAAAGTATCTTAAAGTATGGCAACTCTCTAACATACCTTCAGCATTAAACACTGGTGTTAATGAAAAATACATTTAATACATTTTAGAAATGAAATGTTTTAACATATTGGCATTAAGAATGGGTTTTTAATGAGTTCAAAGGATCCTGACAGCAGAAGTAGAGGGTGCCTGGCTATCACTGCTATGAAAGGGAGCACATCAGGAGGGCCTGGTGAGTGGGAGAAAATACAGAACCCAACTCAAAATAATAAAGAAGGCCTGGGTCCAGTCTCCTAGCCTGGTGGAGCCCTGGAGATAATGGTTCTCAGGCATCCTTCAAACCTGGGAGGTGGCACAACTTTCAGCCAAAGAATCATTGTTCTGAAGTGCTGCCAAGTTGGTTTCAACTAATAGCAACCCTGTATAGTTTTCAAGGAGCAGCTGGTAAATTTGAAATGTTGACCTTGCAGCTGGCAATCTAGTGCTTATCCTATAGCTCCACACTAGGACACCTCAGCTAAACAACAGTCAGGACAATAAGGGCCTATAAGGTGAAGAGTGGCCCTGTGCGTTAATGTGCTAGACTGCAAAATCAGTTTAAACTCCAAGGTCAATGATTCAAGCTCACTAGTCACTCCTTGGAAACCTGATACAGGGTCACTATGGGTCAAAACCGATTCCAGGGCACTTAACAACAACAAAATAAAGTGAACAATAACACCAGGGAGATAAGCACTTCTTACCACATGCTTAAAAAGAATAAAGCTCAGAAGGCAGGAAAGGGTTGGAAAGCACAGATGGAAAACGTAAACACAGGATGAAGTGGGAAGGGTGTTGTTACATTGTGAAGATTGTAATCAATGTCACAAATCAAACTGTTTATGAACTGAATGAAAAACAAATTTGCTCTATCAACTTTCACCCGAATCACAATAAAAAGTTACAGAGGGGTTTAAATATTAATCCTCAACAACCTCCCCTCCAGATTATTTCTTCTGTCTTTAACATTAAAAAAAACAAAAAACTTTTCCCCCTGTTTATAAAAAAAACACATAGATATTTTGGAAAAATGTGAAAAGTGAAAATAAAAATAATTATGCATAATCCCACTGCTCTTTTCTGCAGTGCAAAATTCAAGGAAAAAACAGAAAAACCTAAAAATACCATCACCAAGAAGCATTTATTATAATGTACAACAAAAAGTAAATTATAATGAAGTTTTTATATCTTGTTATTGTTGAGAACATACACAGAATATTCACCAATCCAACAGTTTTCACCTGTTCAATTCAGTGACCGTGATTATATTCAAGTGGTGCAACATTCTCATCTCTTTTTCCTACTTTTCTTTTACCCATTAACCTTAACTCACTGCCCCCTAAACTTCCTATCTAAGTTTTCACTGTTGTTAATTCAATCCCTATCGACAGATCTTAAAAGAGTACAACGCTCAAATAAGACTATTGATTGGTTTGAAAAGACTTCAGGGAATATATTTTTGGTTTGTTGTTGTTGTTGTAAAGTGCCATGGAGTCGCTTCCGACTCATAGCGACCCTGCACAGGGTTTCCGAGGCTATAAATCTTTACGGGAATCTTTCTCCCGCAGAACCGCTGGTAGTTTCGAACTGCTGACTTTGTGGTTCACAGCCGGATTTCGTAACCACTATGCTACCAGACCTCCTTATATTTTTGGTTTAAGGTTCAAAAATTATCTCAGGGTAACTTTCAAGGGTTCATCTAGTCTTCCATGGTTTAGCAAGACAAGATTTCATGAGAATGTGAAATTCTGTTCCATGTTACCCTCCTTTGGTTTGGGATTCTTCTATAGAATCTGTGATCAGAATGTTCAGTAATGGTATCCAGGTGACATGCAGTACTTTTGGGTTCACAGCAGAGGAGGTTAGTTCATGGAGGCAATTAACCACATATTCTATTTCCTGCTCTGTTCCTGACTCTCCTTCTTCCTCTGTTGTTCCAGCTAAATAGAGACCAATCGTTGTACCCTCAAGTGGCACTATAACCTTTGAAGACCTCAGGCACCACACAATGAACTGGAGGTAGAACAGAAGCACTGAACATGCTATTAGAGGCCAATTAACTGAGATGTCTCAAGAAACTAGGATCTTAAACCTCCAAACCAAGGAACCAAATCCCAGGAGATATTCGGTTGTGCATAACAGCCTCATCAGCCACTCATACAACAGACTGTGATGACTGGAAAAATTATATCCTGAACATTCTTGGTTCTGTACTGCAATCTGTTAATTTCATTAATAAACCCCATTGTTGTTGTTAAGTGCCGTCGAGTCGGTTCCGACCCATAGCAACCCTGTACAGGGTTTCCGAGGGTGTAAATCTTTATGGGAGTAGAAAGCCTCATCTTTCTCCCACGGAGCAGCTGGTAGTTTCGAACCACTGACCTTAAGGTTCGCAGCCCGATTCGTAACCACTATGCTACCAGAGCTCCTTTAATAAACCCCATAATCCTGAGTATTGTCTCTGACTTCTGTGTGGTCATTACAGTGAATTGTTGAACCCAGAAGAGAAGTAGAGAGTGCTGGGGGAGGGGCAGCTAGTGTCTGATCTGGTCAAGAAGGTTGGAGCGTGGAGGCATGTCAGATCTGACTTTCACAGGAATCAAATTCAATTTTTTATCCCACAAGTACACAGGGTTCCTATCTATCCTTCACTTAGATTCCCAAGTTATTTCACCACATTTGTTTACCCCGTCTCTCTGTACACATAAACTCAAAATTTCTAAAACATTTAAAAGTTACAGACGTTTCTTTACCTCTAAATATGTCAGTGTGAATTTCTCAAGAAAAAAGACATTCTATTACATGACCACAGTTCAGTTATCCAAATCAGGAAATTAACATTGATATAATGACATTCTTTAATCTATAGATCTTCATTAAGACAGCTGATATTTTTCTAGCTGCCTTAATAATTCCTTTAGGCCATCCCCCCAAACTGTTTCAGAAACAAATTATATATTTAGTAGCCCCAATTCAGGGCTTTGCGTAGTATTTTAGACTGATCAGCTTTGATACACACAAATTGGTATTGTGTCTTTTTTAGTGACACGGAAAACTACCTGATATGACGTTTCATTACTAGTAGTGTTAACTTTGATCATTTATTTAAGGTTGTGTCTGTCAGACTTCTCAGCTGTAAAGTTACTATTTTTCCTATAACTTAACTGTTAGATTAGCATTTCTTATGGTACAGATTCAGTTGAGATTAGTCCTTTAAACAAACTCCTCACTATAACCTCTGAGGTCCTACTCTGTCCTACAGTAACCCCAGTGACCATATGCTCCAGCCACACGAGCACACCAAGTTTGTACTCACTGTTCTTTGTGCTTTTCTTCCAGATCTTCACATAAACTGCTCTTCCTGTCCTTCAGATCTCAACTCAGATCTCTTACTTGGAGACGTTCCCTAATCATCCATCATCTAAATTACAACAAGCCTTCCAGTCTCACTCCTTCATACACTTTGACAATAAAAAGAGTAGCTGCTGAGGCTGCTTTTATACAACCAATACCTCATGGGATCTGGTTCACTGGTTTGGAGATTTATGGGCATGAATTCATGGATGGCCTAGTTAATAGCCTAATATATTTAGTGCTCTGTTCTAAGTCCTAGTTTGTTTTGTAGTGCCTGGGGTCTTAAAAGCTTATAAGTAGCCATCCAAGGTAATTGGTTTCTATTTGCCTGAAGCAAGAAAGGTAGGAGGAGAGCAAAGGACAGGAGGAAATAGATGTGTGGCTAATTGTCTTAAGAACGTCTAACTCCTCTGTCATGTGACCAGAACTGGAAGGTGGCCAGCTACCATAACTGACGATTTTGATCAAGGATTCTAAAGACGAATCCTGACCAAAAGGAAGTGACTGCGAATAGAATTTCAAATTCTTATGGAATCCAGTCTTAGTAGAGTCATGGAGACTGGGTAAAGTACTGAAACTACTGCCCTGAAATAATCTTTAAACATTAAACCAAAAATATCCCCTGACGTCTTTGCAAAACCACAACAGTAGTTTAACGAGCAAAGGAAGTCTTCCTTGCTCTTCTAAGACTTATCTTTAGGAATCAAACTGACAGCAGTAACATGAAAGATTAGACAGGCACCTACGGGTTCCAGTGAGTGTATGCTAATACAGGAAGAACTACTCACACAAAGAGGGTGAGCACAGTTGCACAACTCAAAGAATGTAGTCAATGTTACTAGAAGTGTACATGTAGAAATTGTTGAATTAATATACATTTTGGTATGTATATTCTCAACAAGAAAGAAAAAGACAAAAAAAGGGGGGGAGGGGCACAGTCTATCGATCTCTTCCAGATACTTCAAATCATAGCAAAAAAATTTTTTTTTCTTGTGAACTGAGTGATAGTTTACCTGGATGAACACTGGCTTTACACCATCATTTCATTGCAACGTTTCCACTCTCCTCTGTGCATCATCATTCAACAGTATTTGCTTCCATTCCCTCTGGGGTTTTTTTTGGGGGGGGGGGGGTGGTAGGGTGGGGAGATTTACACAAAAACACTCAGGAATATATAATAATTTAAACAACCAAAGGACACATTCTGCAAGCCTGTCTCCTGGCCACCAGCACCCAGTCAGATCATAGCAATTTTAAAGCTCCCTCATTGCCTGATGGAGTCCTGGTGTGGTGCTGTGGGCTAATGCGTCAGACTGCAGTCGTTTCAACTGCAATGTCAGCGGTTCAAGCTCAACAGCTGCTCCTTGGACACCCTACACAGGGTTGCTATGGGTCGGAATCGACTCGACGGCACTTTAACAACACTGCCTGATAAAAACTTACGATCGTCAGTGTCTATTTTCTCCTCATTTGTTGAAAGTTGAGATTCATACTTGGACAACTGCTTCTTAATCTCCACGTCATCATCATTCTCAGGTTTTTTCTGATTCTAAAAAGGAGAGACAAATTTTTAAAACAGTTGATTTCCTTATGTGCAGTTTTAAGTAGTTAAGTAAAAGATATAGAAAAAGAAAGCAGAATAAAAGATCTCTATCTGAATTGAACTGCAACATCAGCAGTTCAAGCTCACCAGCTGCCCCTTGGAAACCCTATACTGGGTCACTATGGGTTGGAATCGACTCAACAGTACTTAACAACAACAACATCTGAATTAAGGCCATCTAAATACAACATTTGTACCTTTAATTGGGCAGCATCTAGTACTCAGGTAAAGTAATTGTTCAGAAAGTGGAAGAATCCATGTCTCAACAAATTGTTTATGCAGTTCCCCAGTTGTTTCATGTACACATCATGAGAAGCACGGCCTCAGGTTTGTCAATTTTGAACTAGCTAGAGGCATTCTTTTAGTCATTTGTTTACCTTCCTACACATAACTCTTTTTGGGCACTGAAATCTCAGAGCTCCCTTACCTTTTAAATCTAAAACACTGTGACACTGTTACTTTTTAAATTTAAATACTTTTCCTGTAGTAAACCATTATTATCTATTAGTCTTGAACTTACCAGTAGACCTTTTAATCGTCTCAAATAGCATGCTTGATATTGTTCCTATCTGAGTTCTAGCAAGTTTTATATTGCATAAAGTCCACTGAACAATGGTACCTGTGTACTGTCTACTTACACAGAAGACACTATTCAAGTTACTGAAAATCATCAAATAACAGATTTCTAATTTGTGGTACTTCTCAACAGGGCTTAAGCAATTGCCACAGTACCTGAGATTTTATCCCAGCTCTAATAGTGTGTATCTGTACATTCCAAGCTCTTGAGACTTTTAAAAAGCAATCATACAGAGTTTTACTTCTACCAAAATGCTTGAAAGAGAGAAAGTACTTAAATACAACAGGACTTCCAAAAAGTTTTTGAAGCTCCCTGTATTTGTAAACATAACAGATTCAGGGAATCTGAAGTCACTTTTGTTGGAGTTCTTGCTTCTTGCTGGGCAATGGCTCTCTACAGTTTATGCTTTTAGCTGCTGCTGAATTCAGCCTGACTCATGCACAACACATTCGCATGCACAACAGAACTCTAAGCTGTTGGATCCTGTGTCATTCTCACAATCACCAGCACGTCTGTGCTGGGCATTGTGGCTATTGTGCCAAATCCAACTCACCAGCGCTCTCCAATATTATTCTTATTCTTTACTTCTCCAAGATGATGTCCTCCAGCTATTAGTCCCTCCAATGACATGCCCAAAGCAAATGAGTCAGACAATGTTTTGCTGTGATCCCTATTATGAAAGGGTTGGAGATGGTGTTTGGTGTCTGAGCTTTCTGACTTGTCAAGGGGAAAGGAGAATCAAACTCAAAATCACCTCAAAGTCTATGAGATAGAGGTCAGACATACCTCTACCTCCCAAAGTTCTTAACCAATTCTAACACCAACCATCCCTCCTACAGCACTATTTCTCTACTGGGTTCTATAATCCATTGCAATGGCCATACAGAACTCTATGAGAAGGTACTTACAATTATGAGGTTTATTAGGGAAGTTGTTAAGTGTTGTCAAGTTGGTTCTGACTCATAGTAACCCTGTGCAGGGTTTCCAAGGAGTGGCTCATGAGTTTGAACAGCTTACCTTGTGGTTCAAACTGACCTTGTGATCTAGTGCTTTATCCTACCGTGCCACACCAGGTTACAATTCAGGATTAGAAATGCTCGTGACAGTTCTAGTCAGAAGGGTCTTTAAGACATGCCCACAGGCATATCTCTCTCTGTCATTGATCACTCTTCTGCTAGGGTAATGTTACAAAGCTCTTTTAGTGTTTCTGATAAATACCAAAAGGGCACTCCATTACAGGCTTCAACGTGAAGGTAGCCTGCTCTAGCTCCATGGATCAGCAAACTTAGCTCTTCCAATTAAGTGCCTGGAGACACCTCACTTCTCTCAGCCAAAAGGCACTCAGCTTTACTTGCTTTTTGGGTAAAGAAGCCCACTATTCCGTCTCATGATTTGGCTTTTGGTTCTGTTACTGCCACTCCTCTGGTGTCACAGTTTTCTGTCCCTGCAAAGGAGATTCAATGGACACCTCCAAATGACATGTTCCACTCCTGGCTCTTCTTTCTTGAAGGTTGTGACAGCTTCCCTCCTGCTTCTGAGATGGCTTATTTTATACACAAAAGGATGGCTAAACAGTCCACAGTTCCAAGTTTTTACAATCACAAACCCTGTTAACAATCACAACTGAGCCATATAATCCACGTAATACTTAAGAGTTTCTTCCTTACCTTGTCTTACCAAACTCATCAAGAAAAGAGGAAATAAATATGCCCAACCTACACTGCCCCATCCAGTTGTTTGGTGAAAGTTACAAGACTACGGCTATTGTTATTAGGTGCCACTGAACTGGCTCTAACTCATGGTGATTCCATCAGAACAAAACACTGCCTGGTCCTGTGCCAATCCCACATTTGTTATGTCTGGTCCCACTGTTACACCCACTGTGTCAATCCATCTCACTGGGTAGTCTTCCACTTGTTCACTGACTGTACTTTAACAAGCACGATGTCCTTTTCCAGGGACTGGTCCTCCTGATAACATGTTCAAAGTTATATGACACAAAGTCTTTTCATCTTGCTGCTGAGGAGCATTCTGGCTGTACTTCTTCCAAGACAGATCTGTTTTTTCTTCTGGCAGTCCAAGGTCCTTTCAATATTCTTTGACACCATCAAAATTCAAATGCATCAATTCTTTTCCAGTCGTCCTATTTACTGTACAGCTTTCATATACATTTGAGGACACTGACAATACTATGGCTTGGGTCAGGTACACCTTAGTCCTCAAAGTGACATATTTGCTCCTTAAGCTTTTCTCCATTTATCATAATGATGTTTATTGGTCCAGTGGTAAGTTTTGTTTTCTTTACACTGAGTTGGAATCCATACTGAAGGCTGTATTCTTTCATCTTCATTAGCAACTACCTCAAGTGTTTGACTGCAGCAAGCATGTAAGACATAGTTATTGAGCCTTTCTCCAATTCTTATGCATATAGTCCAGTTTCTTGGATTATTTGCTCAGCAAACAGGCTGAGTAAGTATGGTGAAAAGACGCAACCCTGACGCACACCTTGCCTTATTTTAAACCATTCAGTGTCCTCCTGTTCTGTTCGAATGACTGCCTCTTGGTCTACGTACAGGTTGTGCATGAGCACAATAAAGTGTTCTGGAATTTCCATTCTTTTCAATGTTGTCCATAGTTTGTTAGGATCTGCACAGTTGATGACTTTACATAGCCAATAAAACAAAAGCAAACATCTTTCTGGTATTCTCTGCTTTTAGCCAAGATCTAGCTGACACCAGAAGAGCAATGTAAGTAATTCACTGCACTGCACATGTTAATCTTCGATTGTCAATTATCAGACCTTTCTTCCAAGTTTGGCGTATCCTGGAAGCTGCTACAATCTGTCCACAGGTGAATTTGCAGGTAAATGAAATACCAGTGGCATAGCTTCCAGCATCACAGCGAAACGCAAGACACCATAATATGTGAAACTGACAGGTGAGTGTAGCCCATTCTTTTAATTAAAAAATATTAATGGTCTATAGTATCTTCTATGGGAGCACTGTGAATCTGTAGGGTAAGCATTGGACTGTTAACCAAAAGGTGGTTGCTGGTTCAAATCCAACAGCTGCTCTGCAGTTAAAAAAAAAAGTGAAGGTTTTCTGCTCCCACAAGGATTTAAAGAGTCAGAAACCCTATAAAGGTGGCTGAGTCAGAACCAATTAATAGCACTTAACAACACAATGTCCTTTATGTTAAGCATTGGCCATATAACCTAAAACAAGAAACTTGCACAATCCCTGTCCTCATGAAGCTTATCATCCACAAGGAGGAAATTTTATGCAGATGATGATTATACAATTCTTAGATTGTAACTGTAAGTTTTATAAAGTGTGATGAGTGCATATTAACAGTGTGCCACAAAACAGGCTTCCTTGTCTTAAGAAAATCAGTTATACCAATATCTAAAGATGAACAGGAGTTTGCTAGATGAGGAAGGCAGGCAGTATTCCAGTAAAGGACCCTGAAATAGGAAGAAGCCAGTCATACTGCAAGTGTAAGAAGTAAAAGGTCATTAATGACACAAGCAAGTCACAAGGGGCAGCTAGAGATGAGGCTGGGGCAGCTGAAAAGACAGGACAATGTAAGGCAAGTTAAGGGCTGTTGGCTTAGTCCTAAAAGTCACTGCAAGAAGAATTTCAAGTACTGAAGTACATTCTCATCTGTTTTTTAATTTTAAGAAATCACTCAGAGAAATGTTACATTGGGAGAAAAAGAAAACCAAATACTGGCCACTTAGGAGGTAATTGCTGTCACCCAAGTGTAAGGAACCATGTCTTGGGTTAGAAAGATAGCAAGGAAGATGAAGAGAAATGGAAAAACACTGAACGTATTTAGAGAACTGAATGAACAAAATTTGACTCGATTTGGAACTGAAGATGACTCCTAGGTTTCCAGCAGGTGCAGTAACTTAAATGGGTAGAAGGAAAATTTGAGTTTGAACTAGTATAGGGGTCTAAAACTTGCCATATATATTGTTGTTGTTATTATGTGCCGTGGAGTCAGTTCTGACTCATAGCGACCCTGTACAAGGTTTCCGAGGCTGTAAATCTCTACGGAGCAGAAAGCCTCATCTTTCTCCCACAGAACAGCTGGTAGTTTCAAATTGCTGACCTTGCAGTTCACAGCCCGATTCATAACCACTACACTACCAGATATGAAAAGTGAAGCTAATTTTAATATAGAAATTTCAGATCCCATATGTGGCAGATGATTTAGAACTATGCTTCAAAGAATCTTCCAGGGATACAAGACAGCTATCGTAAGGAAAATCCTAGGTGAGATGCCCTGGGATGCACTTGGAGAGCTCTGAACACTCACCATATGATGAATATTTTTTTCTTTTTGAAAAAACTAAGATTATAAACTGTGGCAGGGTAACGTTAAATCTAGAAGCCACTGACAAAACACAATCCCAATATATTTTTGAAAAGAGAAGAGCATGTGATGTTTTCAGAACTCCAGTGAAAAGTCTTTGCCTAGAAATGATGCTTATTTGTTGTTTAATGTTTCTCACACATTTCTCAAATATTTATTACTCACCTACTATGTGCTAAACATTATTCTATGCATTGTAGATCAAGCAGTAAATACGAATTCCTGACTCTTTTAAAAGTTTAAATTCTAATAAATATTACTAGATTATAGCAAAGATGATGAAACTTTTTAATTATAATCCACAGTATTAAATACATTTTATTTTATTCCACATACCAACAACAGTTTTACAAAATGATACCTTTATAGTATGTAACATGCTATGTAAGTGTTGCATCTATAAACACTGAAAAACAGATGCGCTATCAAGCAGTGACCTTATGGAGTACAGAGCTGCCTCATGGGGTTTCCCAGTCTGTAGTAATGTAGTGGTTATGAATCAGGCTGTGATCCTCAAGGTAGGCAGTTCGAAACTATTAGCTGTTCTGCGGGATAAAGAGGAGGCTTTCTGCTCCCGTAAAGATTTACAGCCTCAGAAACTTTGTACAGGGTCGCTATGAGTCGGAACCGACTCCACGGCACATAACAACAACAACCAGAACCGACTCCACAGCACATAACAACAACAACAACAACAACCAGAACCGACTCCACGGTACTCAACAACAACAACAACAATTAGAACCGACTCCACTGTACATAACAACAACAACAATCAGAACTGACTCCACGGTACTCAACAACAACAACAACAATTAGAACCGACTCCACGGCACATAACAACAACAACAACAACAACAACCAGAACCGACTCCACAGTACTCAACAACAACAACAACAATCAGAACTGACTCCATGGTACTCAACAACAACAGTCTTTATGGAAGCAGGTGACCAGGTCTTTTTCTCATTGAGTTGCTAGTGGGTTCAAACAAACTCCAACCTTCTGGTTAACAGTCGAGTGCTTAAGCACTGCACTGTCACTCTATACGATAAACACTGGACTGTGAACCATAGTTCACCACTTCAAGCCTACCAGCAGCTCCGCAGGAAAAAGATGAAACTTTCTGCTTCCAAGAAGTTTTTGTCTCGGAAACCCTATAATGGGGTTGATATGAGTCAGAGCTGCAGCAACAATGGGTTATACAACCTAGAGTTTGAAAAAAAAACAGCTCTGCATCACATAACTGAGAGGGGCTTTCCTCTCAAAAGTATCAGATTTATGAAAAGTTTTATTTAAGTAAAATTTGACCATAAAATTGAACACAGAAAGTTAAATAAGTTAGATATTTGATGCAGGACACACAGTTAAAAGGAAAACAAAAATTTTAAAAAAACATTATAAATAATCATTCACTTCAAAAGTCAGAGTAATTCAAGAATCTAAAGAGTAAAACGTATTCTCAAACTAGCCTAAGTGAAGCAATTGGGGCAACTGGAATGTGGAAAATTTAGTCCTACATTAAGAACTGTTGTTGCTGTTAAGTGCTGTGGAGTCGGTTCCGACCCATAGCGACCCTGAACAGGGTTTCCGAGGCTGTAAATGAGCAGAAAGCCTCATCTTTTTCCACAGAGCAGCTGGTAATTTCGAACTGCTGACTTTGCAGTTCGCAGCCCGATTCGTAACCACTACATTACCAGAGCTCCTTAAATTAAGAATAGCATCCTTATTTCACTTCTTCCTTCTTAGTTTAGGTCCACTAAAGAAAAAGGACTAAAAATCTGAAATGTTGATGACTACAAAATCTAGAAGAACAAGTATTTATAGGATGAACTAGGAGGCCCCTTCCCAGTTCCCACAAGTACTTTTGCTCAGCACAAGTCAGCTGTCTTCATGGCAGTTATGTAATTTACATATCGCTCACACTATGAGATGATGACAATAGTTACTTCTATGAAAACTAACCTTCTGAAAGACTCAAAGGCAAGATGATAAAAAATGGCAAATTATGTAAGGGAACCACTGTGTAAAAATGTAAGTGTGAAACCTCTTGCTCAATTTTGTGTTTTTGTTAAGTGCCATCGCGTCGATTCCGACCCATAGCAACCCTGTATAGGGCTTCCGTGGAGCAGCTGATGAGCTTGAACCGCCGACCTTGCAGTTCAAACAGCTTTGCAGTCTGGCACATTAACCCACAGCGCCACACCAGGACTCCTTGCTCAATTTTAGAAAAAAACAAAATTGGAAATTGTAGATGAAAACAGCATACCTCTTGAGGAAAAATGGCACACATTTTCAAGTCACAGAAAGTCTTGGTCTCCATGAAAACACCAGAATATGAGTGTAGGACAAGTCTGTCTAATTAAAAACCGGAATTATCTAAGACAAATACATGTCATTTTAAAATGCCTCTTCTGGTGAATTTAACTGATTTCCTGGATATCAGATAAAAGAGGCAGCTGGCCATATGCAACTTGAAAGATTTTTTTTCCCTTTAATTAAACAATGATTTTATTGAAGGAATAAAAATGACTCAAATAGGGGAAAACACATTACACGACATGAACGAATAAGCAATCCAATTCACTGGGTTTCAGTACAGAAGAGGGCTTCAAGTTATTACAGGTCTGTTGTGGCGTTGTAGGATAAGCACTAGACTGCTAACCATAAGTCTGACAAGTTAAACCTACCAACTACACCGTGGAAAACCTATGCAGTATCCCTGTTAGCATTTACTCGACGGCACTTAACAACATTTAACTTGTTAAGTGCCACAGAGTCAGTTCCAACTCAGAGCAGAAAGGTGTTTTTTTTTTTTTTTTTAAATGAGAAATAGATCCTACTTCTTGGCTTCATATTATTTTGTGGTGGCAATTTGCAAAGGGTAAGTTTACGAAATTCACATCACTCTATACTCAATGCAAAACAGAATATCCAACTATTTGGTAAATAATTTATCACAAGTTAGTCATAACCACCAATCTATACTAATGGTATATTTACAATGATTCTGATCTTCAAAGCCCTGACAGTACCTTGTGGGTCTTCTATGCAAATACTTACCTTTGCACAAAGGAATACTAAAGACAAAACGCTCCAGGGTTATCAACATACAGAACTGTTCTCCATGAATGCCTCTGGGAGCACTCTTAAATATGAATTATACGCTCTGGACAAACTGTCCTAACAATTACAGTACTAGTCTGAATAAATATCTGGTGTATAGGAAGTACTCAGTATACTTTTTCTTACCTTTTTCTTCTTATCTTTAAATTGTTTGATCAATGTGAGCACATGTTCAACAAGAAACATGAAATATAAGCCTCCTAGAGCTGTCAGACCCTTCCATGTGGAATCAAAGTAAGAACTTTCTTCTATGTTTTGAGAAGACAGATGACTGAAAAGGGGGCCCCTCTTCATTTCCATTGCTGATTCTCCATGGCTATGACTGTGGTGGTGACTTGCGTGAGACTAAAGACAAAACATGTATTTTATAAATTAAATTGTTTCCACAATATGCCAGATACAGGTAAATTTGAAATGATTGAGAATTAGGCAGTTAGTGGGACAGTTTGGTGTAGAGGGGGAAGGTTAGGACATTTCTAAAGGTATGTACATTCCCTAAGAACCTTTGTAGTGTGTACGTAGGTAGCGGGTATTTTCGATGTTTAACGAACTACCATGACCACAGATAGCAGAGAACTATTAGAATGGGTAGTAACACACTCATAGTATCTACTGTTTAGACCCCAACTGAAAGCTCACACCAATATCATTGCTATGTTTACAAGAAGCTTTGTACGTATTGATAGGCCCTGACAAGTACCCAAGATCCAGACGTACTGTCCCAGCAACTTGTTGCTGAGTGCAAAAGTAATTAGAGTCACTGCATATTAGGGAATCAGGTGTGGACTACATTAACAAATGGGAGATCCTTAAGAGGTGGGAGATCCTTAAGAGGCTATCTCTAGCAAGTTCTGCTGAGCATCTGGTCAGGGACTCTGTCACAGTAAAACAGTTTTCTCTCATTACTGAATGGAGTATGAGGAGATGTGTGGTGCTCTGGGAATGGAGCGATTTCCATTTCATATTTACTTACCAACCTCTAAAGGAAATTTAAAAAATGAGATATAAATATTTTCTGCTTGACTACCTAATACTACTTAATGAAAAAGTAAATTCACCTGCCAATCCTGTTTTATTCAGGAATTCACTTTATTTTTTCTGTGACACTTAAAACAAACATTTAAGCAGATAATTAACATCGTTCCAGTCTGCCACAGTATTAATTATCTAAGCAGAATTTGTCTCCTTTCATTTATAGGGTTCCAGAGTTACACTAGTTTAGTAAATTCCTTTGAAATACAGAAAACACAAACAAGTTCTAAAATCTCCTAAAATGCAGCTTTCCATTACGAAGCACGTTTTAAAACCATCTTTAAACCGAAATTGTACTAGATCATACGTACCTATAAAATGGATTCTAGTACAAGCAAAACCCTCCCAGTTTGGTGAGTGTTAAATAATAAAACACACCAATCAGACAAATTACTGTACTTACATGTGGGAGAAGGTGTAGAAAAGCATCACCACTTAGAGTCCCAACGGCCAACGCCACCAGGAAACTCAGCAGAAATTTGAAAAACACCCGGTTCATGAGTGGCACTAGGATGACCCCCAGCAAGGATAGGAAACTTATGATGGAAATAGCTATGAAGCCTCCAACCCAGGCTGTCAAAGAAAAGAGAACAAAGGGAAATCATAGTACTGGTAAATTCTAAGAGAGATACTTTGAAGAGTAGCATAAAGTAACTTGTAAAAGCAGGGAAGCTAAAGAATTAAAAATTTAGTGCAAATAGGGCTGGGTAGATAAAACAATAACCAAGAAACCTATTTGTGATTTAAATTAACAATTTAACTGGTACTTAAGAACCCTCCATAGAAACAGAATAAGCCTAGTGAGAATTGTGTTTCAGGCCAAAAATGAGTGAAAGGAAAATGGTTACCAAGGATGATGAACTCTAGTTCATTCAGGAACAGAGCTTCCAAGACACCCCTAACATCTACATTTCAATAGAAAAGAGTTTTTAAAAAGGTTTCCAGGAATTTGATTTTTGATAGTAAACAATTAGTTCTTTCTTATAGTTTTGGGGCAAGTTGACTACACTAATAGCAGTAGGTCCCTCCTAGCCAGCAGACTGACTCTGCTCCAAACAGTATAACATCCCATAGAAAAGTCCAAACTTCAGAAGACGCTGACATTTTCTGTAGGATGACCTCAGGCAAGTCACAATCTAAGTTTCATTATTTTTTATTCTTTTTAAAAAAAGATAGGCGCTACTATGCTTGCTTCCTTCACTTTCAGGGCAGGGATCAATTAGGAAGCTGTATTTGGAATGATGCTGGAAATATAAGGAAATGTACAATATAAATGTATCTACTAGATATGATTTTTACACGGAAAAAGCCAACCATACCTATTTGTAAAGAATAGGCCTTTGGAGGGATTTCAGCTTTCTTTTCACTGGTCGTGTGAATCAAACAAGATCTAGCATCAATCTGATTGATGATGGCTGGGCAGAGATAGTAGAACTCAGTTGTGTTCAGCAGAACCTGGATGCCCATGCCATGAGAGGTGAGCAGCCTGGAAGCATTGAAACACTGCAGGAAACAAAGCGGTGAAAATCACCTAAGGGCATTCCCATTACAAAATCCAAAAAAGATGCTTGTTAATATAACACCTTTTCCTTAGTGAAGCTACTTCTTTATCTTTTAAGTTGACGCAAATTAAAATCAACCCGTTCTGAGAAATTCAGAACTGTCTCACGCTAACTGGAAAAACTACGTCACCATGGTGGTATCCCACTTCTTGGGAGAAGCAGTTACATCACCAGTCACCTAGGGAAGAAGCCTCCAGAGGAACAAGCTTGGGGATAAATGGACATTCACAAGCCTGTTAACTCATTTCATAAACCTATTAAGGAAATGAGCTTTAATTTTGTGATGAGGTTTTCTAGCGAATGAGAAATAAGTTGTTTTAGTACTAAGGCGATCCAGCTTGGCCTAAACCAACTCAAGACATGTCACTCTTTCAGCAATGACCCTACTTGCAAAAACTTAGCTCAGTTCCATCTACATACCTGGCAAAATAATGATCTACAATGAGAGGATATTAAATTATGCATATTACTCTTGCAGAGAGCAACGCTAGGTAATAAAACAAACCTGTACTGGCAAGTAGCAATTATTTCAACAATTTAATTAAATGGCACGCAGAGTTGAGGGAATCTTTTCTACCCAAGCTGCCCTCTAGCTCCCACTCTAAAAAACAACAACAACAACAAAAAACCCCCAGGCTTTAACACTGGTTTCTCATCTTCTATAGATAGTTTTAAGTCCCTTAGTTCTCAGCCAATACTGAGAATAAATTTTATCATTGGTGTTGCTATGAATATGACCATTAGTAGAGTTATTCAGAATTATAGTAGTCATATGCTGCTTTGAATGAAATATTTAGTTTTGTTTATTAAAGTATGACAACTAATTCTTCATTCTCGACATTCTCTGTCAAGGCAAATTGTGTACAGTGTGGAAGTCTACTCTAGAAAAACCAAATGAACTTAAAACCGCACTGCCTAGCTTTTTCACTTGTCCAACACAATGCTCTTGGTAGCGGTTTCAACTTCTGTAACTCAAATCATTATGATCCCTTTTGCCCTCTGGCATTAATTCTTTCTACCAACGCTTTCCTCTCAAACAAGGATTCTAACTCTTGCTTTTCAATCACCTCTTTTCTATTAATATTTACCTTTAAATAATTTCTGGAAAAATAATTTTTGTTATCTACGCTTCACAAATATTTCAAATTCTAGACTAAGGAGTCCTGGTGTGGCATTGTAGGATAAGCACTGGATTAAAAGGTAGGTTGAACTGCAAGGCCAGCGGTTTAAACTCACCAGCGGCTTCTTGGAAACATTATACATGTCGCTATGAATCAGAACCAACTCAAGGACATTTAACAACAACATTCTTACCACCAAGATGATTTCCCCAATTTTGTATTAAAGTAGACTTCCACACTGCACAGAATTTGCCTTGGCAGAGAAATGTCAAAATGAGGAATTAGTTGGCATGTTTTAATATGCAAGTCTAAATATTTTATTAAAAATCAGCATATGACTATCCTAATTCTGAATAATTCTATCATACCCATAAGACTAGCAGAGACACATTGAGTTAAGTCCTTTCTGAAAAGGTTGAAATTCTCGTTTTAATAACCTTAAAATTTTATCTTATTTTAAACTCCTTATAATGATAGAGGTTTCAATAACATGACATGCAGGTATGGCAACTGAAATAATGAAGAAAATACATCTTACCTCTTGAGTATTCTCATTTGTGGTTTTAGGATGCATAAAGCCTTTTCTCAGCTCACTCATAGATTCATTTGTTTTCCTACTAGCAAGCTGGCTTGCATGGCTCTTTTCTGTGATACTGGGTGGAGTGGAACCACTCATATCTTTAAGGAGAAGCTTTCCAGGTTTCGGAGTCTCTAGAGTCTCTAGAAAGTGGGTTCCTTCAGAGACAGCGTTATATACAGTTGAGGTCACTTCCCCAGCACTAATACCATCCTTGACTAAAACATTTCTTCTAACATTGGCGTTTTCTGATCGGCGAGATCCTTTTCCCTGACTGTTTCTAGGATCTTTACCAGAACTGTCAGAATCATGGTCTGGACAAAGGCCTTTCCGATTATTTTTCCCAGAAGCAGCATGATTATGGTGAGAGTGATGGTCATGGTCAGAGTGATGATCGTGGTCAGAGTGATGATCGTGGTCATGGTTAATATGAATTCTTCTCATCTTATCAATGCCTATATTCTGAAGTAATTTTCTAAATCCTTCAACTGACAAGGAATTATTTTCTCCATAGCGGTGGAAAAGTTGTTGTAGATGGTGTCGCTGTGTAGTAACTGCCAAGTCAACATTAATGCCTGATTGCCAATTTGGAACAATTTTCTCAGTGGTCTGAGGGAAAGCAGCTGAGAGACTTGTGTCACAGGCCAGCAGAGTGAAAGGCAAGATCAAGATCACAGACAAATTCCTCGCCATTGCACCTACCTAGAGAAGACAGAAATGAAATGCTTGGCTTCACTTAGAAAACAATTTGAATTAAGAACCCTCATGCTGGAATTGATGGCTAATCAAGGTTTACAGAGCATCATTTACTGTGGCCAGCGTAGTGTTAGATACTTTGAAGGTTAGAGAATGAGAGGCCAAGGCTCTCCCTGCACTGCTAAAAGAAGAGATATGAGTAGGAAACAGTCATGTAGTCAGCAATATAAAATTAGCAGTAATTCTGTGTCAGGAGTGATCCAAGTGGTCAGTCACATTGGCAATGTCTGACTGTACTGAGGACAGTAACTGAAAAACAAAACCAAAAAGACCAACACTATCTGGATTTTATAAAACCAACTTTTTTTCCCACCCAAAGTGAAAATGACAATCTCAGATTAGCATTCAATTTCCCCCCTCTAATACACTCTCCTTGTAAACAAATCAATTTGCGGCCACATTTGGTGACGTTGACTGCTAACTGTAAGGTTAGCAGTTCAAACTCACCAGTCTCTCACAGGAGACAGATGGGACTGTCTGCTTCTGTAAAGATTTAGTCTCAAGAACCCTAGATAGGTCTCTGAGTCGGAATTAACTCGATGGCAGTGTGTCTGGGTTTTGCTTAATTCCATCTATCAAAAGTACCCAAGTTTACATTTCTTGAGTATCCCTCAAGATACTTTCTATGCACCCGTGTACTTTAAACACACAAATAAGATCTTTTACCCCACTGAACAATTTGCTGTTATTTTTAGGTGCTGTTGAGTCCATTTTGACTCATAGCAACCTTGTACACAACAGAACAAAACACTGCCAGGTTCTGCATCCTCCTCACAATTGTTGTTAAGCTTGTGCCATTGTTGCGGCCACTGGGCCAATCCATTTCATTGAAGCTCTTCCTCTGTCACTGACCCTGCACCTTACCAAACATGACATCCTTCTCTGGGGACTGAAACATTAATCAAACATATTTCATATCAGCACATATAAACCAACCACATTCTTTTAAATGACTGCATAACTCAGAGAACCGTTCTTTAAATTAATGACCTTCGTGAAAAACACAGGCTATGGTGTTTACTTATCAAAGTTTTATCAGATATCACTCTTGGCACACAACAGTGTTTGGAACCAATGGCCTATGACCCAAAGGGGAGTTAGAAATTGAGTTGGGTCTTGAAAAGGAGAAATTAAGGACAGTATAGTCTCTGGTAGTGTAGTGGTTACGAATCGGGCTGTGAACCACAAGGTCAGCAGTTCGAAACTACCAGCTGTTCCGCGGGAGAAAGATGAGGCTTTCTACTCCCGTAAAGATTTACAGCCTCGGAAACCGTGTACAGGGTCGCTATGAGTCGGAACCGACTCCACGGCACACAACAACAACAGTCAAACAAGTGGGTAGACTGATAACTCAGCATCAAAAAAAGCATGTCCAGCACCAGTGATGGACTGTGATGGGCCTGGAGTGAACGCAGAGGAGGAGCTCTGGAGAGAGAGCACAAGAGCTTGTGACAACCTAGTTGTACCACTTGTCAGTTGTTCTGTCTTACCATCCCATATGGAAATCCGGTTATATAGGGTGAGCGAGAAAACCACATACATGAATGTAAGTGGAGGGCGCTGTATACTAGGAGCTATGGAAAATGGAGGCTACGCCCCTGAAAGAAGACTGCGGAGCCTGAAGTTATGGGAATTCATTTAATAGGCAAAAGAGAACCATTAAGCAATCACTCGCAGGGATGGGAATGACTGGGGACCAGCATGGAGAGCGCAGGGGGCAGCTCAAACAGGAGTCTCTCTCATGAGAGGATGCTCTGAGGACCGCCGCCAAGCTGGCAGCGATCTCCGTCCCTGCAAGTCGGCATATGTTAGAAGCAAAAAGAAAGGACTGCAGATCTAGGGAAAGAGGCGTGTGGTTTACACAAAAACAAAATAAAACAAAAAACAGAAAAGAGAACTTTGCTTCTACGGGCTTTTTATTTTTAACGCGTGAGATAAAAAGTACACATCTTTACCTCCGAAAGTCCTCCGTGGCTCGGAAAACCTTTTTGTGCCCCCCAGACAAGGACATCCGGCTGACTCTCCAACGCGGTCGCGCGGCCGCCGCGGACCCAGTTGCGGGGCTCTCCCTCTCCGCTGTCCTCTCCCCTAGCCGCCCCCTGCTCGGCTTGCCGGACTCACCTCTCCGCGGTCTCGCGGTCCCACGGCCCCAGCGCGTGGGTAGGTTTTCCAATAATCGGTCCGGAGGGCGCGGCGCTAGCCCCGGGCTTCTCCCTCCAAAAAACCCTCTACACGGCGAGGAGAAGTGGCGGTCTCATTCGTTCGGCCGGCCCACGGTCGGGAGATACCACAGCGGAGACACTCGGAAGCCGTACTCCGCGCCACCTCGCCTCCCCGGAGCATGAGGACAATCGCTAATTAACGCCGCGCGTAGAGCGCTGCCAGGAATCGCCGCCTCCGCTTGCCAGGATTGCCAGGCATGCGCAATGATGCTCCAAAACCCAGTTCCCGGCCGAGTGATCCGCTTCTCCGCGTGTTCGTCGGTGCCGCGGAGCACGTAGAGTCTGGAGAATGCAGAGACGTGGACCGAACCTATATAACGCTAATGTCTGTTGTGGCCCTTTTGTTGTCAAAGGCCCTGAAGCCGGCCCCGTCCACAGCTGGGAGCCCGGCTGAAATAGATAGTGGGATGTTCCTGACGCTGCCTTAGTACGAAAGTCTTGGGTCCCCTTAGAGAGTTCCGAGCTACTCGTATTGGGCCCTTGGAAAGGAAGCCGGATTTGTGTCTCAAATCACAGTCTGGGAGATGGGAACAAGTAGTCTCGGTCCCGCGCCAGAGCAGTTTAAGTGACTGCAGAGGGTGTGCCCGACAAGGGGTGTGCCCGGCAAGGGGCGGGGCCTCCTTCACCCTACCCCTGGCTGCTTTGGAAAGAGGGTCCGGGTGATGTAAGGCGTGGTAGGCCGCCTGGCAAGTAGTTCCGTTCCAAGGGCGGAAGTGCGTTCCAGTTCTTGGCCGCAGACCAACCTGCAACATGGTGGCTCCGGTGTTGGAGACGGCACATGTGTTTTGCTGCCCTAACCGGGTGCGGGGAGCCCTGAGCTGGAGCCCTGGGCCGGGAGGGCTTCTGGCCTTCGGTACCTCCTGCTCTGTGGTGCTGTATGATCCTCAGGTAAGCGGGATGACGCTTCTGGGGCCGAGCCTGGCGGAATTATTATCCGCCGCGTTCAATGCACTCTGAGACTTTCATCGCTTCTTGGGAACTGTTGTGTTGTTAGGTGCCATCGAGTCAGTACCGACTCATAGCGACCTTATTATGCACAGCAGAATGAAACACTGCCGGATCCTGGGCCAGCCTCACAATTGTTGCCAAGCTTGAGTCAATCGGTGCTGCCATATTGCCAATCCATCTCGCTTTCCCTTTTTCTCTGACCGTCCACCTTACCAAACATGATATCCTTCTCCAGTGACTGGTCCCTCCTGACAATATGTCCCAAGTATGATAGACGAAGTTTGGCCATCTTGGCTTCCTAGGAGCACTCTAGCTGCATTTTATCCAACACAGATCTGTTGGTTACTGTTAAAAAATCAATTTAGCATTTAAAAGATTTGCAGTTTTGGTGTAAATTAAGCTGTCATTCCACACATACCATCTCATATACGTATTTCCCTTGTTAGGTGTCATGGAGTTGATTCTTAATCAAAGCGAGCCGGTTCCCAATACAACAAAACACTTCCCGGTCCTGCACCTTCCTCACAGTCGGTGCTGTGTTTGAATCCATTGGTTGCTGCCACTGTGTCCCACCATCTCACTGAGGGTCTAACTCTTTTTCGCTGATCCTCTACCAAGCGTAATGCTCTACTCCAGAGATTAGTCACTCCTGATAACAAGTCTAAATAAGTATGTGAAACAACGAAGACTGGCCTTCCTTGCTCCTAGGGAGCATTCTGAATGTATTTCTGAGACAGATGTGTTCCCATGTTTTCTTTATTGTTAAGTACCATAGTGCCGGTTCCACCCATAGTGACCCTGTATAGGGTTTCCAAGGAGCAGCAGGTGAGCTTGAATTGCCAACCTTGCAGATCAAAGAGACTTTGCAGTCGGGTACATTAACCCAAAGCACCACACCTTAGGGTTGTGCAATAAACTTTTGTTGTATTTACTTTAAAAGAAATACTACTTATATTTTTGCGACCGGACTTTTTAAAGAAAGTTCCATTCCCCAAAAAGGCCGCAGTGGGTGGGGATCCTAAACACTGGTTTTTGGCAGGAGTTAATATTCTTTGAACGTATCCATTACTTTCACCCAGTTTTGACCCTCTTATCAAATTTGTAAAGTGAATAGTTTTTGCATGCTTCACAGAGTTCTTTATGACCCGTTCCCAATATCTAATTTTGGACTATACAGTAGTGTTGCTATTGGAAACAAGACTCAATATTTTCTAAAAAATGCTGAAAATTAAAACACAGTTCAGGAGATGGCTATATATATTTTTTGCTGCCTTGCTTTATTTATTAATTTGATCAAGAGTTCCATTCAAACCTGTTTTTTAAAATGTTTTATTGTGAATTATGTGATAGTTTACATGGGAGAACATTAGTTTTACATTCATGCTATCGATACATCATTTCATTGCCATGGTTACAATCCACTCCATGCATCATTAACCAACCAAAGGGTATATATACCCTGCAAGCTTGCCCCGCTGGTCATCAGCACACAGCCCCTCTCCTTCTCTGGGTCTAAAGTCCCCAGCTGCTCTGTCTCTCCATGTCATCGTCCCTGCCTCCATCTCTGGCATCACTGCTGCTCTGGGTGGTGGTGGTAGTGGTTATGTGCTGTGGAGTGGGAACTGACTCATCGACCCTGTAAAGGGTTTCGAGGCTGGAAATCTTTACGGGAGCAGAAAGCCTCATCTTTCTCCTGCCGAACAGCTGGTGGTTTCAAACTGCTGACCCTGAGGTTCGTAGCCCAATTTGTAACCACTACGCTACCAGAGCTCCTTGCTTCTCTGGATAGGGTAGTGCATTCTGCTCTTCTCCCTTGATGGTCCCAGGGACCTCTGCTCCTGGACTGCAAAGTCATCTACTCCTCTCGTTTTGCTACAAAATGTCTACCTTTTCATTTCCAACCCTCATAGTCAGTCCTGATAGCAATTATTCACTATTTTGCAGATACAAATTTATATATGAAATTTCCCATATTTTGAACTTGCTTGCTACTTGGTTGCTTTTGCTTCTTATTTTGGTCATGCATTTAAAAAGTATTTTATTGATTTTCTCATAAACTTAGTTGTACTTGATTTGTTACCTCTTAAAATGAAATTTCCACCCACAAAAATTGCTGTCAGTTTTGTATCATACAAACCCTGGGTTTGTCTCTATATTACTGTCCATGCTGTTTATTACCCCCCCCCCCCATTATGACTTTATTTTTCTCTTAATAACTGTGGTTTTTAACATGAAGGTTTACAAAGTACTTTAGGTTCCCGTTCATTAAGTTCTACACAAACTGTTCAGTGATATTTGTTGCGTTGTTAACAGTGTGTGGGGGTAACAGTGTTTTTGATCTGGCTGTTCATTAATCTAGTTTCCCTGCCTTCTGACATTCTCATCTTTGTTTTAAAGGAATTGTTGACCATTTGATCTCATGTAGATAATTGTCTTAAAGGAGCACAGTACTCATGTGGGTCATGTGGGTATGCCTTAATTTCTGAGCCAATCTGTTATTTAGCTAGTTTCTGTTAAAGGTTTCTAGAGTACAGTAAGTATCTCAGGACAATGGTCTTGGAGTCCTCCACTGCTCCAGTACCTCTGTTTGTTTTTTAAAAGGAATTTAAGGTTTTGTTCTACATTTGTCTCCTATCAGGGTCTGTTTTTTGTGACCCTTGTCACATGGTCAGTGTTGGTAACCAGACACCATCTAGTTCTTCTAGTCTCAGAGTTGTTGTTAAGTGCCATCGAGTCAATTCTGACCTTTAACAACCCTGTATAGGGTTTCCAAGGAGCAGCTGGTGAGCTTGAACCATCAACCTTGCAGTTCAAATGACTTTGCAGTCTGATACATTAGTCCACAGCACCACACCAGGATTCCACAGTCTCAGGGTGGGTGAGGCTATATAGATGAGGTTCATGCAGACCAGGGGTGGGGAATATCTGGCCCACAGGCCATATTGTTGTTGGTAAGTGCTATCAAGGCCCTCAAAATCATTTGATATGGCCCTGCCAAGGCAACCGCAGTTCCAGCCATCACATTTGTTGTTGTTGTTGTTAGGTGCCATTGAATCGGGACTGATTCATAGTGACCTTATGCACAGCAGAACGAAACACTGCCTTAACTACTGTTGCCACGCTTGAGTTCATCGATGCTGCCACTTGGCCAATCCATCTCATTGGGAGTCTTCCTCATTTTCTCTGACCTGCCACCTTGTTGTTGTTGTTAAGTACCATGGAGTCAGTTCTGACTCATAGTGACCCTGTACAGGGTTTCCAAGGCTGTAAATGTTTACGGGAGCAGAAAGCCTCATCTTTCTCTTGCGAAACAGCTGGTAGTTTCGAACTGCTGACCTTGCAGTTCACAGCCCGATTAGTAACCACTATGCTACCAGAGCTCCTTACCAAACACGATATCCTTCTCCAGCAACTGGTGCCTCTTGACAATATGTCTGAAGTATGAGAGACGAAGTTTGGCCATCTTGGCCTCCAAGGAGCACTCTAGCTGCACTTCTTCCAAAACGGATCGATTGGTTCTTTTGGCAGCCTGTGGCACTTTCAGTATTCTCCTCTAACACTATGGCTCAAAAGCATCAATTCTTCTAAGGTCTTCCTTATTCTCTGTCCAGCTTTCACATGCATATGAGGTTATTGAAAATACCATGGCTTGGGTCAGGCACACCTTAGTCCTCAAGCTGACATCTTTGCTCTTCAGCAATTTGAAAAGGTCTTGTGCAGCAGATTTGCCTAATGCAGTACATCCTTTGATTTCTTGACTGCTACTTCCACGAGTGTTGATAGTTGATCCAAGAAGAATGAAGTCCTTGACAACTTCAATCTTTTCTCCATTGATAAGAATGTTGATTATTGGTCCAGTGGTTAGGATTTTTGTTTTCTTTACATTGAGATGTAATCCATACAAAGGCTGTGCTCCATGATTGTCATCAGTAAATGTTTTAAGTCCTCTTCACTTTATTACTGGTGAGTTAATTGAATGTCTGACCAAATATAGCAGGCTAATTTTTTTTTAATGTTTTATTATGAATTATGTGATGGTTTACATGGGAGAACATTAGTTTTACATTCATCATCTTATCATATTTCGTTTCATTGCCATGGTTACAATCCCCTCCATGCATCATCAACCAACCACAGGGTATACCCTGCAAGCCTGCCTCCCCAGCCCCACCCCTCTCCCTCTCTGGGTCTAAAGTCCTCAGCCGCTCCATCTCTCCACGTCTTCGTCTCTGCCTCCATGTCTGACGTCACTGCTTCTTTAGGTAGGGTTCTGTTCTCTGCTCTTCTCCCTTGATAGTCCCAGGGACCTCCGCTCCTAAACTGCAAAGTTAATCACTACTCTCCTTGCTACAAAACATCTACCTTTACATTTCCAACCCTCACAGTCAGTCCTGATAACAGTTATTCACTATTGTATCACAAAAGACCTATCCGCATTTTATTTCATCAGCCCCACCTAGACAGATTGGATACTATTCAGTGGAGATTCTACCTTCCTCCATGCCCTCTGGATCTAGGTTCCCTCATGAAAGCTTGTAAGCCAGTTACTTCTTGCCTTTGAAGTCCCCCATTTTGGGTAGCCAATGTCCAAGTTGCCTATCCCTATCTACTCTGTGTATGGAGGAGGTGGGAATGATCCTTGCAGTAAAGATTTGTTCCCTCTTTTGAGCTACTGCATCCATAGGTGTGGGTCAAGTTCATCATCAAATTGTATCAGATTATTATTTTTTCTTCTTCTTCTTTCTTCTTCTAGTTGAGCTCTGATCATCTAGTCATTGAATCCAGGTCAAGAGCATGTTATCTGCAAGTGTGGGTGTTCTTATGCATATGCCCTCTCTTCTTATCAGCTGGATGCTTCACTCACCACTCAGGTCTTCTGTGGCTATGTTACTGACTCTGGGCCTAAGAGTTCCCAGGTCTTGCCACACTGATGGCCAACCAGGTCTCCACCTGGGTTCACAGGAGTCTATTGAACGTTGTAGGGCTTAGCTCACAGCTTTCCTTGCTGTTTTTCCCTTATTGGTGACGGATGTGGTCACCAATAGAGTATACTTACATATTGCATTCATGTGGATTCAGCATTGGGTTTGGTGCATAGCATATTCAAGTTTTACTCTTTGAAATTCACTCCCCTACACCATCCAATATTTTTGACTTGCGAATGGTTAAAGCCATGGATGCAGGACCTGCAATACAGAGGGCCAACTAACTGTATGTGAGATTTGTTTACAAGCAATTAAAAAAAAAAAAAATCTCTCTTCCCAAGCCTAGAACTTACATATATATTTATAGGGAATTTCTCTTTAAAGTAATTGTTTTCTAGCTGTTCCTATTTTGGAATTTCCTCCAGGATTTATCAGCACCTTCAGTTATATAAGTTGTTGTGAATTTTGGTATTTGCCACGTGTTTACTAAATAGCAGAGAAAGCACATAAAACCTTTGGGAAAGTTTACAGCGACCATCAGCTAAGGACTGACTCAGCTGTTGTAGCCACATCTTTCTGCAGCAGATTTGGTGGATTTGTGCTTCTGTTTACTATCAAATGTTTTATTTTAATAACTTAATGACCATCTTAAGGGAATTTAAACATATCAAAAAAGTATACAGAGGGAGTAGTTAATCTTACAGTCCAGGAACAGTGGACCCTAGGACCATCAAAGGAGAAGAGCACGAGCGGAATGTGGGACTTTACCCAGAGAAGCAGCGACACCAGAGAGGGAGGCAGAGATGGGAACATGGAGAGAGGGAGCAGCTGAGGACTCTAGATTCATGGGAAGAGAGGGACTTAGTGGCCAGGAGGCAGGCTATAGAATGTGCCATCTGGTATTGGTTTAAATTATTACATATGCCTGAATGGGGGGAAAAAAGACCTAAAATGAATAGAAATACTGTTAATGGATGGTCCGTAGAGGGGATTATAATCATTGTAGTGAAACAAAGTATATGATTTGTTGAATGTAAAACTAATGATATGGCCTGTAAACTATCACTCAATTCACAATAAAAAGTTACATTAAAAAAAAAAGTATACAGAGCATAAAATCACTTTGTTTTGTTAGCTAGCTGGGTAATTAGTTAAATTCAGAAGTCAGATAATATCAGATTCTGAGATAAAGTTTTGGGGGATGATATTCATTAAGGAACTTTTTGAGGGCCCTTTGGGTTAGCCCTAGGTTGGGTGGTATTGATACAAAATAATAAGTAACTCATTCTCACTTTAGTGAGAGAGACAGTGAACTATGAGGGTAAATCAAAAAAGTATTCTATAAAATCATAGAAACCGTTATGAAACTAATTTATCCAAACGTGAAGCTGTTGTTTCTCCACTTATCCTCCACATAAGTCTATCCACTTCTGTAGGCAGGGTTTCCACCTCCCCCTGAAAATGTGTGTGCTCTTCGATGTACAACAAAATTGCAGTTGTAGCACGCTCAAAGGACTCAAATTGTGTTTCTTCTTAATGTTCTTTAGTCTTGGGAACAAAAAGAAGTCTGAAGGAGCAAGATCAGGGCTGTAGGGTGAATGGGGCAAGATTTCCCGCCAGAATTACTATAGGACAGCCCTTGCTGCTCTTGAAGATTCAGCCCGGTGCATTGCTATGACGTGCCAACATTCTGGACAAGTTTCCTGGCCTCCTTCTTATCGGTGCAGTTTTTAATTTTCTTCAAACTTTGTTAGCTTCAGTTTTGTTTAAAATAAGACTAATGGAAAAAGGTCAGCACTTTTAAAAGCTAGCTGATCTTCATTCACCATGTTTTGTTTTGTGTTTCAGTATCCTTTTTAATTTTCATTAAGAGCACCCTGAGGAGGCAGTAATATACACTGAGAGAACTTGTCTAAGTCCATCCACTGATCATAAAGCCATGTTTAAACACGTTTTGTTTGGAATAAACTCATGCACATATGAACTGGAACCTTGTAAAAGAAATTGTTTCCCAACCTTAGATAAACCACACTGAACTATATGCACATTTACGTCTGGGTACCTTTTCCTCCCTTAAAAGAAATCTGACTGGCATGTAAGCATATATGAAGCCAGTGCTGCTGGCATGAAGTAGAGAAAGGGATTATAAAGAGAAGGTCACAGAGTTAAACTCTTCATCAGACAAAGAAATAAAGAAAGCTCAAGTGGAGGGTGGCGTTGACAAGTGTAGCAATCTGAGAGTTGCGTGGGAGCCAGCACTAGGCAGCCCGGTGGCAGTCTGATGTGTGAGGATGTTAATATTTATAGCTCTGTGACCTTGTGTCGTTTGAACATAAAAGCCACTACCACCTGATCAGCCATGGCATGCAAAGTGATTGAAATTATTGTTACCTTGAATTTGTACCCATCAATCACAAATTTCTATTGAAAGGTTTTCTAGCAACAAAACCCACAAGCTGGTGCAAGCCTGCCAGAAGTAAGCCCTGGGGGATCACTGGGAAAAGGCTTCTTGTCTTATCTTGATTATCGAGCACCGAGACAAGAAGGATGTGGACACTGTGGGAAGCTGAACAGGAACTAGACAGATGACCTGAGAGCTCATTTGGCAAGAATTCCCATGCTGGGAATGTGGAGAGTGACGGCAAAGGCAGGGATAGATGACAATGAATGGATGACAAGGCACAGTGAAAAAGTTATGAACTATGGAAGATGAATCTGTTTTGAGTTAATTCTGATATTCAAAGATTCAGAACATGAGACCTTTATTTAGTAATTACTCTGAATTAATTGTAATTTACTAACTATTGTTTTCTTCTTAAAGAAAAGGATTGTTATTACCAACCTGAATGGCCACACTGCTCGAGTCAATTGTGTACAGTGGATTTGTAAACAGGATGGTTGTAAGTATTAACCTGATAAAGTTCTCAGTGTTTTCTGAAAAAGTGTGATTAGTCACTTATTTTATATGTGAATTTGATTTCAGTTAATGTTGTGCAGTTTAGAAATTAGATCAGTAAGAGAAATCTTCATAGTAGGCTGAGTGAAATATCTGACCTGCAGAGTATTTTGTAGTCTCTTGTTGAAACCATGTAAGAAATTATCTGGTTGGTAACACAGCAGTGCTTATGATGAGAGTAGAGACATCCCTTGATTGTGGCAAGACTCGTTTCCCACAACCATTGGTTTGAAAGCCTATAGCAGGGCCCTGTGATGGGGCCAGTGCTGGAATTCAGAGCCACTCAACTTCTAAATTTTTGTCATGGAGTAAGCTATTGCTTCCTTTAGGCACTACATGGCATCTTTTTTTTTTGGAAATTTGTATATATTTTTTAATCCATATGATTTAAACCCCAAAGGAAAAAAAGGACATTCAATGAAATGTCTTGTTTCTGTCCCTCCTCAACCACCTAGCTCCTCTTGCTAGGTCAAGAATTGTTGTCTGTTCCTCTGTTCCCTTGCAGACATACCTTTTGCGTGTATAAGCAGATTTGTACATTATACCTCATTTAAAAATTTTAACCCACATTTTAGCATATTATTTGCACTGTTCATCACTTTGACTTTGCCATTTAATGATTCACTTTAAAGATTATTTTATGTCAGGACATGAATAGCTTCTTCCTTTGGTACGACTGCATAATATTTATAATTGAACCAGTTTCTTAAAAGTGTTGAATAGTATCATTAATATCACATGTAAGTAAAATTTTACTGAAGATGTTTCAAAACCAGTTGCAGTAGCTCTTTGTCCAGGAGCCACTGTAGCATCTTTTCTGACCTCAATTTGCACCTCAGGAGTCCTGATGTGGCGCTGTGGGTAATGCGTCAGACTGCAAAGTCATTTGAACTGCAAGATTGGTTGTTCAAGCTCATCAGCTGCTCCTTGGAAATCCTCTACAGGGTTTCTATGGGTCAGAATCGACTCGACGGCACTTAACAACCATCTGAAAAGTGAAGAACTGGACTAACTCCAAGGACACTTGAGTCCCAAATTATTTTTGTAGTAATACAAAGAAATTATTCACTGTTTTCAGTCCCGTTCTGTACAGTGGAGATTTTCAAAAGCCACTTGATGTTTCATTGTTGTTTTTGTTAAGTGCTGTTTAGTTGGTTGTGATTCATAGTGATCCTACGTAGGATTTCCAAGGAGTGGCTGGTGGGTTGGAACTGCCAACCTTGTGGTTAGCAGTCCAGTGCTTATCCTCCAGAACCACACCAGAACTATCAAATATTGCAATAGGTGTAAGGTATAAGGATTAGCACTTCACCTCAAGGTTGGTTTGAACCGTAAGGTCGGTGATTCAAACTCACCAGCTGCTCCTCAGAAACTCCATGAGTAGGAACTGACTTGATGGCACTTAACAACTACAATAACATATTTAAAAAACAAAACCTGTTGCTGTCCAGTCTGTTCCAACTCCTTGACCCCCATAGCTGAAGCGATCCCATAGGATTTTGAAAGCACAGTGTTAAAAAGCAACCAATATGCTCGTTTAAAATTTGGAGTCAATGAATATAGAGATGAAAGAAAGTTGGAGACAATCTAGTCAGTAATTCTCAAATTTTTGGTCTCAAGACTTTTTACCATAGAAAGCCAGAACCTGTGTAAGGCAGAAACCTGTCACAGAATGAAAACTCTAAAAATTTTGTCCTAGAATGTGTGATAGAAAAGTGGTACAACTGTACACCTTCAAAGACAGAAAACTTGTGGGACCAGGAGAAACAGTGCAGTCCCATTATGTTCAGACTCTCATAGGTTTCATTGTATAAAAGATTTTTGAGGATACCAGAGATCTTTTGTTTATATAGGCTTGTTATTAAGTTCTGTTGAGTCGCTTCCAACTCATAGCGACCCTGTGTAGAGCTTCTGAGGCTTTAACTCTTCACTGGAGCCGAAAGCCTCATATTTCTTCCACTTGTATGGTCTATGTATACCTATTATATATACCTATTAACTAGTCCTGTTGTGGTGCTCTAGGATAAACACTGGAATTATAACTGCGAGGTCAGCAGTTCAAACTTACTAGCACTCATCTGAAACCCTATACCACAATTGTAATATTCAGTAGGAAGCCTGGTTGTGCATTGGTTAAAGCTTGACTGCTACATCAAACGCATCAGCTGCTCCAAGGGAAAAAGATGTGACAGTGTCTTTTCATAAAGACTTACAGCCTGGGGAATCCTATGGGACAGTTCTACTCTGTCAGATGGATGTGAGTTGGAATTGACTCGATGGCAGGGGGTTTGGTGTGGTTTTTAGTTTATTACAATATTCTGATGGACCTAATTTAGTTTTGTTTTTCATTTAACAAATGTCTTAGGCACAAATTCAAAATTTCCTGAATTAGCGAGAGTTTGCTATGATTTTCTCTGTGATATTAAAAGAAAGTATAATATGCTTATTTCAGCTGATAACACAGGATGTGTGTTACATTAGTGAAATCCATTAAATAGTACAAAGGACAACTGTTGGTGTAGCATTAAAACACAATTGTAGTTGTATGAATTGCTAAAACAGGTTATATGAAATGAATTGCTTGTGTAGCACTGTTGTCGTTAAGTACCATAGAGTCACTTCCGACTCATAGCGACCCTGTTTAGGGTTTCCGAGGCTGCATATCTTTGTGGGAACAGAAAGCCTCATCTTTGCCCCACAGAGCAGCTGATGGGCTCAAACCACTGACCTTGTGGTTTGCAGTCCAGTGCTTATCATATGGAGGCACTGACCTCCAATGTAGAACTAGAATCCTTAACAATTTTTAATTTCCTCTAACTTCCAAATAATTCTAAGATGACCCTTCTAATTCATGTGACATATGAAATTTTAATAATGCCATTTCATATTTTTAATATCTGATTTTTAACAAATTTCATGAACCTATCATTCTCAAAATCATAGAGATAGTGACTTAGTATATGTGACATGAAGAAATTTAAGGCGAAGGTCACAGTTGTCTGGAAGCAGAATTGGGGCTTGAACCTGTAACTAACTTCTGAGTACAAATCTAATGTGTTATATACTATATTGTACTTTCTTTTTGTAAATAGTGAGCACATAGCCAGAATACAAACATAAATGGAAAATCCAAACCAAAATTGTGTACTCCCGTTATTCCCCTCCTCCCATCTGTTTTTTGTTCTTCTATCAACTAGTTATAAATGTTTAAAAGAGCTGTTTTGAAATATGTGTCTGACATCAAAGGCACGTATCATATCCATGGTAGCACCGTTGACTGTACCATCATATAAAGCATTTCCAAGTTTCAATAAAATCAGATATATTTAACTGTCAATCGCTTAATACATGGGGGCTTCAAAAAGTTCATGAGAAAATTCTTCCTTTTATTTTTAACTTTTTATTGTGAACTGAATGAAGGTTTAAAGAGTAGTTCATCAGTTTTACATTCAACAAGTGATATACTTCATTTCATTACAATGATTGCAATCCGCTCCCTGTACCATTAGTGTTTACCTCTATTCACTTGAACTCTTGCATTCATCCCTCTGTCTCCCACTCCCTTCATCTTTCTTCTGTCCTCTCTTATATACTGCCTGCTATGTCATCCAAGTTAACATGTGTCTACCCTATAACCCGTGAATAATTTTCCTTCCCCTCCTCCTGGTAATCATCATAGAATGTATCTTTTATCAAGAAAACCTTTTCTTAATATTTACTACAGTAGTCTCATATAATATTTGTCCTTTTTGAGATTGATTAATTTCCTGGTGTGGTGCTGTGGGTTAAGCACTGGACTGCTAACTGTAAGGTTGGTGGTTCAAACCTATCAGTTGCTCCTTGGAAACCCTGTGTAAGGTCTGTAGGAGTCAGGAACTGACTCCATAGCATTTAACAACAGCAACAATTTCACTTAGCGTAATGTCCTCCAGGTTCATCCATGTTGTGAGGTGTTTTCCTCTTTAATGTTCTGTGTATTGTGTGTGTGTTCACCATTGCTACAGTGAACATGGGTGTGCATATATCTGCTCATGTCACTGCTCTTACTTCTTAAGGGTATATACCAAGCAGAGGGATTTCTGGTTCTTTCAGTGTTTTTATTTCTAACTTTCTGAGGAAGTGCCACACCATTTTCCACAGTGGTTGCACCATTTTACAGTCCTACCTGCAGTATAGGAGTGTCCCAGTCTTTCCATACCTTCGCCAGCATTTGTTGTTTTCTGTTTGTTTGAATTTTGCTTTTAATGCTGAAATAAGATGGTATCTCCATTGGATAAGCATAGGATTGTGAGCTGCAAGGTCTGTGGTTCAAGCACACCAGCTACTATGCAAGAGAAAGATGAGGCTTTCTGCTTTACGAAGATTTACAAGCCACAGAAATCCTATACAGGGTTGACTATTCAAACTCTCTAGGCACTCCTTGGAAATCCTATACAGGGTCGCTATGGGTCACTATTGACTCGACGGCACTTTACAACAACAACAACAACAATAGTCCAAGAGCATGGAGTCCTGGTGTGATGCTGCAGAATAATGCACTGGACCACAAGGTCGGTTTGAACTACAAAGTCAGTGGTTCAAACCTGCCAGCTGCTCCTAGGGAACCCTATACAGGGTCACTGAATTGGAACTGACTTGATGGAACTTAACAACAGATCCATGAGCATGGTATTTTCCTCCATTTCTGTAGGTCTCTCTTGGTTTCTTGTAGTAGTATTTTGTATTTTCTTTGTATAGGTTTTTTGTTTCTCTGGTTAGATTTATTCCCAAGTATTCCATCTGGGGAATTATACTGTTCAAAGAGGAGCTGATACCAATTCTACTCAAAGTAGCCTAGAATATTGAAAAGGATGGGAAACTCCTGAATTTATCTTATGAAACAGGCATAATTCTGATACTCAAACCAGTCTACATCATGAGAATAGATGCACAAATTCTAAGCAAAATACTAGCCAACAGAATCCAATAGTGTATATATATAAAAAAAAAAATCATAAGTAAGTAGGATTCATACCAGTTATGCAGGGACGGTTCATTATTAGAAAAACAACATAATCCACCACATTAATAAAACAAAGGCAAAAAAAAATCACATGCTCATGTCGATTCATGTAGGAAAGGCATTTGAAAATATCCAACACTCATTCATGATACAGACACAACAAAATAGGAACAAAAGGGAAATTCCTCAACATACTTGGCAAACCACATGGGCAGTAGTTCAAGTCTTATCAGCCATTCTGTGGGAGAAGGATGACTTTCTGCTCCCATAAAGATTTACAGGCTCGTAAACGCTATGCAGGGTTGCAATGAGTCAGACCCACCTAGACAGCATACCACCACCACCATACAAAACCAATATTCAACATTATTCTCAGTGGTGAGAAACTGAAGTCATTCTCCTTATGAACAGGAACCAGACAAAAAACAGGCAATGATCACCATTTCTATTCAACACTGTGCTAGAAGTCCTAGCCAGAGGTATAAAGCAAGAAAGGGAAATTAAAAGCATCTAAACTGGCAAAGCAGTAAAACTCTATTTGCCTCATCTGCTAACTTGCCAGATGTTGTTTCCATTATTTTCTAATTCCATTTTTCTACAAACCTTTTGAAATCCCCTTGTATATGTTATGTCTGTCAAAATGTTTAGCCTAATTCAAATAATGAGAAGATAATCAGATAAATCCATGAGGGGCATCCTTAAAAACAACTGGCCTAGAATCTCATTGTCACCACAATAGAAAGGGAGAGAAAGCTAGGAAATGATTTTAGATTAAAAGAGACTAAAAAGGCACAATGTATTATCCTTGGTTAGATTCTGGGTCTAAAGTACATTCATAAAAGACATTAGGATAAGTGGAGAAATTGTTCCATGGACTATATATTGCATAATACTACTTTGTAAGTGCTAAGATTCTTAAATGTGTTAATTATATCTTGGTAATATAGGAGAAGGAGTCCTGGTCTGGCACTGTGGGTTAATGTGCTAGACTGCAAAGCCATTTGAACTGCAAGGTCGGCGGTTCAAGCTCACCAGCTACTCCTCGGAAACACCCTATACAGGGTCACTATGGGTCGGAATCAACTTGACGACACTTAACAACAACAACAATGTAGGAGAACCACAAGGTTGGCGGTTCAAACCCACCAGCTGGTCCTCAGAAACTCTATACAGGATCGCTATGAGTCAGAATAAACTTGATGGTATATAACAATAACAACAAAGTAGGAGAATGTCCTAATCCTTAGGAGCTATGTGATAAAGTATTTGAGGATCAGAGGTTACGGTGTCTGCAACTTATTTTCACATTGTTTGTGAGGAAAGAGTATGTGTGTGTGTGTGTGTGTGTGTGTGTGTGTGTGTGTGTACATTTATAGAATGAGCAAGATACTAAGTAAATGCCTGTCTGGCAAAATAATATTAACAGTTGATGGATTTAGGTAAAGGGGATATGAGTATTCTTAGAATTTTTTTGTGACTTTGAGATTTTTCATAATAGCTCTGGAAAAAGTTTTAAATATTGACCAAAGTATAATTTTTTTTTTCAGCTCCTTCTACTGAATTAGTTTCTGGAGGATCTGATAATCATGTGATTCACTGGGAACTAGAGAATAACCAGGTTGGTGGCATGTTTATAGTTATAAGAAATGACAGTTTTGTCTACATTTATTTCCATTTGCAACTTATAAACATTTCTGCCGCTGCATCTTTTATGGTATTGCCTCATTCTTGTTTATCAGTAACCCAGATGCAGAATCTCCTGGACTTTTTAGGTCTTGTGGTCCATTCTGTCTATGAATTTTCGGTCATTTGTAATGGACCTTGCTCTTTTGTGTTCAGCAATAGTAAGAATTAATATGGCTGTGTTAACAGGGCAGCTGTGGCCTGTGAATATGTTGTTAGGTGCTGTTGAGTTGGTTCTACCTCCTAGCGACCCTGTGCACAACAGAATGAACACTGTCTGGTCCTGCACGATCCTCACAATTGTTACGTTTGAGCCCTCTGCTGCTGCCACTCTGTCAGTCCATCTCATTGGGGAACTATCTCTTTTTCACTGACTATGTGCTTTTCCAAGCATGATGTCCTCCCCCAGTGACAGTTCCTTCCTGATAATACAGCTGAAGTACAAGAGACGATATCTCCCCATTCTCATTCCTAAGGAGCATTCTGTCTGCACTTATTCCAAGACAGATTTGTGTGTGCTTCTGGCAGTTTGTGGTACTTTCAGTATTCTTCACCAACATCATAATTCACATGCATCAGTTCTTCTATGGTCTGTATTCTTGTCAATATGTTGTTAAGTGTCATCGGTTGGTTCTGACACATAGTGTTCTTGTAAAGGGTTTCCAAGGGGGGGTTGGAAGCCACTGATCCTATAGTGCTGATCTTACAGCACTACACCAAGTCTTCTGTTGTGACCCTGTATATGGTGTCTGAGGCTGTAAATCTTCCAGGGAGCAGCTGGTAGATTAGAACTGCTAATCTTGTGGTTAGCAGTCCAGCTTGTAATCCACTGTGCTACCAGGGATCCTTCTTGTTAATATGTTGTTGTTGTAAAGTGTTAGGTTGCTTTCGACTCATAGCCACCCCATATAGGGTTTTTCAGGAGTTGCCGGTGAGTTTGTAACACTGATTTTGTGGCTCAAACCAACTTTGAGGTCAAGTGCTTATCCATTGGTGTGCCTATAGGTATATGTAATTCTGAGTTATGTTGTAATATACAGTGCACAGTATGGATGGACTTCTATTGATGAACATTTAGGTGGTTTCTATTTGTAAGCAAAGATTAAGAGAGAAAGATTAATGTAGCAAATACTTGGACAGCTGCCATACAAAAGATACAGATGAGGCAGAGTCTTTTTATTCTTTAATCCTGTGTACAGTTTGGAAGGCAAAATGTACTTGAATAGCTGAAGTACTAGGTTGGCACTGTAGGCTGAAAAACAACAGACCACCAAAGCAAGCTTGCTGTTGTAGAGTTCATTCTGACTCATGGCAACCCAGAATGCTTTCATTTTAGAAACACATTGCTAGGCTTTTCTTCTATGGCACCACTGGGTGGATTTGAACCAACAGCCTTTAGTTTAGCATCTAGCTACAAACACTTTGTATCCTACAGGGACTTGGCTTCATGGGTGGTGGTTGTTGTAAAGTGCCGTCGAGTTGGTTCTGACTCATGACAAGCCTATGTAGCGTTTCTGAGAAATGACTGGTGGGTTTGAACAGCTGACGTTGAGAGGTTAGCAGTCCAGTGCTTATCCCACAGCGCCATACCAGGGTTTGTTGTTGTTAAGTGCCGTTGAATTGGTTTCCACTCAGCAACCTTGTTTCTGAGGAGTGGCTGGTGGATTTGAACCTCTGACTTTTTGATTAGCAGTCCAGTGCTTATCCTTGTTGTTAAGTGCCGGTGAGTCAGTTTTGACCCATAGCAACCCTGTATAGGGTTTCCGAGGAGTGGCTGGTGAGCTTGAACCACCTTGCAGCTCAAACCGACTTTGACCTTGCAGTTCAAACTGACTTTGTAGTCCAGCGCATTAACTCAGCGCTACACCAGGATCCCTATTTTTCCATATAATATATATGGTGGTGATTGTGTGCCATCGAGTCAGTTCTGACTCATAGCAACATTGTTTAATGTTCTGAGGCTGTAAATTTTCATGAAACAGAAAGTCTTATCTTTCTCCTTCAGAGCAACTAGTAGATTTGAACTGCTGACCTTGCAGTTAACAGCCCAACTCATAAGCCACCATGCTACCAGAGCCCCTTATATAATGTATGGATGGATGTATGTCTAGTTTATTTAATAAGTTTCCTATTAATGAAAGTTAATGTGATTTTTTTCACTATTATAAATATCTTCATATATTTCTTTTAGTATTTATTATACTTGTGCTTTTATTTTCTTAGGGCAGTAGATTCTTAGATGAGATGATTTTTTCTAAGGGTATGCACATTTTATGTCTTAGTTAGATGATGAGACAGTTTTCATGAATGTCCTTTCAGCTGAAAGGACGTATTTCTGAGTCAGGAATTTTAATGGTACCTTTAATCCTGTGATTCTAGTTAAATAAGATGAATCTGGTTATTGCTTTTTCAATTATAATATTTTTGTCATTGCTTCTGGTTCAGCTTTTAAAAGCAGTGCACCTCCAAGGTCACGTGGCACCTGTTTATTCAGTGTGTGCTGCTTACCAGGAGAGGGCATCAGACGTCACATTGCAAACACTGATCGTTTCTGCTGCTTCGGATTCAATTGTTCTAATCTGGTCTAAAAAGGCTTCAGAAGGTAGGTTTGGGGACAGGTTATAACCCAAACAAACAAGATAGTAACTAGCAAATGGTTGACAACTAGAAGAACATGTGTTGAAGTTTCTCAGACTGTCAGGTAGCTTTATAAATATTAGAATTCTGAATTTTTTATATAATTTAGTTTATTCTTTGTTGAGAATATACACAGCAGAACATACACCAGTTCAGCAATTTGTACATGTTCTATTTAGTGACATTGATTTCAATCTTTAAGTTGTGCAATCATTCTCGTCCTCCTTTTCTGAAGTTTTCCTCACCCACTAACGTAGACTCACTGGCCCTGAGGTTCCTATCTAATCTTTTGAGTTGCTGTTGTCAGTTTGATCCCAGATATATAGATCCTAAAAGAGCAAGGCAGACATTCTTTCCTAGCTAAGCTAAACTATTTGGTTTTAAGAAAACTTCAGGGGGAACTTTTAGTTTAAGAATTAAAATGTTATGATTCTTATCTGAATATTTATTGTTTCTTTTGTACTTTTTAAAATGTTCTCTACATCCAAGTGTGGTCAATTTAAATTCTTTTAAGGCTTCTCATATGTCATTTGGATCATTGTTAAAAATTGGCCATTTTAATTCCAATAGTCAAAGGGGTTTATGTTTGTGGAGAATAATCCTTACCTCATAGCTAGTTTGTGGGCTTTTTCTTCTGGCTGTCAGCTCAGGTCTGACTCGTTTCTCCCTGTTGACAACTGGGGCTTTGATGATGCCTCTCAACCCATCCAGGTGGAGAAGCTGAGTTAGTTCATGGTGTTTTGTATTATTTCTTAGTCACATGCCTTCAGTCCTTGGACTTTGGAAATGGATTTGCTCTGGCCCTCTCCTTATCTTATTTGCCTGACACTGATGGTGAGTACTCTACCAGGTATAAAAAGAGTAATATATTTGTGTTTAAAAGAAATGCATTGGTGTTAATGTTATATTTAAATGTTTTTATGAAACAAGATGAGAGGTAGCTAACTTAACTTTTGACTCAATACTTAAATGATCTAAGTACAGAAAATAGTTAAAGGAAGTTATTAGAAATTTTGGTAGCTGTTGAAAATTTAAGTGACTTAATATATACTCAGGTTTGATATTGCTATTTATGACTTATATTATGAATATAGATAGATATAATCTGGGAAAATTAATTCTTTAGAAGGTGAAAGTGTGGAGTAAGTTAAAAGACAATACTGAAGACAGACTATGTAAGTATTTCTTTCAGGTCATAGCCCCTTCACATCCTTCATGTTGTCATGTTGACAGTTTGCTCAAGACCACTTAACATCTCTAAATGAAAAATTTCCCTTTTACTATGAAACCTATCTGTTCCCCTATTTTAAAAAATTTTTTAAAAATATTAACCCTGCAAGGATGATTGCTAGTGTGAGTCAGTCATTGTCCTTGTCTCTGGTTACACAGTGGACCAGGTTTGGTGGAGAGAGACCCGGCTTGGAAGCCCCAGTCTCTTGTTGTCTGTGGCAGAAGCAGGTTTCTCCTTTGTGCAGGGTATGCCTGGAAAGAACATCTGTACACTTTTTGGTTTCAAAACATAACAGTTTTCCTTTACCTTGAAGCTTTTACCTTAAATCATATTTGAAAAATATAACTTAGTAGCAATGAATTACTCTACTAAGAAAAAGAATCTCCTTTTCATCTATACTCCAGTCATTTGGACTGTCTTTGCTGTTGTGAATTACTTTGTTATCTTGTTAATGAACACTGATTTTACAGTTGTACCTTCTTTTGCTTTTTAACTGTATATTTAACTATGCTTTTTTGTTTTGTTCTCTCATTGCTTTATGAATTGTGTTTTTGCATTAAATTATCCAACAAAATATAAGGCCCTCGAAGTAACAATCATCATACCCTTAAATCTTTGTGGAACAGCCATGGTGTTGGGCTTACAGTTTTCTTCTTCAGATGGATTAACAACTTTTCCTTTTTCACTGCTCCTGCTATCATAAAATGCATGGATTGGAGGGAAGGGTTCTCAGGCATTTTTTGCGAAGTAACCATTTAATAGAGCAGGGTAGTGTTGATTTTATTGCTATAGAAGCTTACGCAGCCTTGCCCATGTATTTGCTTAATGATAGAGGAGAGAGAAGTCAGGGTTCTTTGCCTAGCACCTAGGGTCCAGCATAGACAGTAGAAACTCTAATATGTGATGAAGTACTTGAGTGAAGCTTCTTTCCCCCCAGTACCAGTATTGGCGTGTGGTGATGACGACTGCAGAATTCAGCTCTTTGTTCAACAGGATGGTCAGGTAATTCATTCTGTTTAGTAATACTAGAGTTACGTTCTTATATTAATTATATATCACAATGCAGACTCTTTCCAGATTATGAAATTTTAGGGATTTTCTAGTCTAAAGAAAATAATCTAATAGAGTCTTTTTTGACAATCCTCTGATATGAGAAAGTTCATAGAAAAAAATGTCTTTTTAAAGCCTCGTTCTAGACAGATGGCTTTCCCACTCCCTGTTTGAATACCATGTAACTGGTACTTAGGCCACCGAACCCTGGGTTGTTTTGGAGGAAGGGTCATTATGTGGGAAAAGGAGGAAAGAGGAATGCATGTGGTAGTGTTTTTATTTTGCTTTTATCATTAAAAATTTTATTTTTGTGAAGCATAATATGTCTACAGTGAAAGCCCCTGATAGTTTCTAAAAATTTTTAATGAAATAAATGACAGTGAAGGTGTTCTGCTGGTGCAGTGGTTAAAGAACTTGACTGCTATCCAAAAGGTCAGCCACTCCATGGGAGAAAGATGCCGCAGTCTACTTTCATAAAGATTTGCACCCTTGGGAGCCCTATGAGTAATTCTGGAAACTCTGTGTGTATGTGTGAGGGGAGGGTCACTGTGAGTCAGAATCTACTGAATGGCAGTGAATTTGATGTAATTTAAAAAAAAATAATGTCCCTATACTGATGTGACTTCTGTTGGTATTTTTTTTTTGCTTTACTGAGCTTTACATGAACTTGGAGTGGTTAAACTAAATAGGGACACATTTTTACAGAGAAGGGGTTGGTTGTCTGTGTTGTTAACTGCTGTCGAGTCAGTTCTGGCTCATAGTGACTCTGTATAGGGTTTCCAAGGAGCAGCTGATGGGTTTGAACCACTGGTCTTACGGTTAGCAGTCCAGTGTTGAGCCTACAACACCACACCAGTTAACTTTAGGCTCATTAATTTAATAATGGCATTACTTGTTTCTTTGCATTCTATAAGAATGTTAGAAAGGTGGAACCACCCAACTTTTTCCTATATAGTATCCTCAGCCTGTCATTTTATCTTGTAAATATTGGAGTATTCAAGTTGACAAATGTTGTGTTAACCTCTTCAGTTTTACTTAGCTAAATGTTATACTGGTTTATTCTGTTGTCCAAAAGGAGAACGTTCCTGTGAAACCTTTTGTAAGCTGAAATAGTGTAAATTGAGGAAACAAACCTTTAATTTGTACAGGAACAATATTTGTGTGTTCCCAGACCCCCAAAATAACTGAACAAGCCATACCAAATAATCATGTATCCAGCATAAAATGTCACTAGCAGATAGTCTTCACAGACACACTTCAGAGCTGTGGTGACTTGGTTGGTACTGAGTGTAGTTCTTAGGGAAGGAGCTGGGCGACTCCTCTGTTTCTCCTCAGGGTATAAGCTGCCTCTTCAACAGCTCGCTGCAAAAACATGCTAAGTGCTAGGCTCGCTTTTCACCTGTCCTAGTAAAACTGAAAATCCTCTTCAGATTTCTTCCGGGTAGTGAAAACAGATACTAATGTAGGTCTTTTGAAGAGTCGGGTATACGTGCATTACAGTGTGGTTTTTTTTCCATTCCCAATTGAGTGCTTTTTCTTGTTTAATTGGATAGTGTTCCTGATAAAATTAAGTGCAATAGGACTGGCTGAGACCAGTTACTAATATGTATGAAGTTTTTAATATTTATGAAAATGTTAAATTCTTACATCAATTCAAGTGTGATGATTTTTGTTATCTCACTAGTTTCGGAATGTGCTTTTTCTTCGTGGCCATGAGGATTGGATAAGAGGCGTGGAATGGACGATCTTTGGTCAGTATGAAACTTTGCTCAAGCACACATAATGGGACAAGTATGTATAACTTCCAAGAAAGTAGCCTCTTTTCAATTTTAAACTTTCTTTGTACATTGCTTTTTTCTATTGTCCCAATCAGGAAAACGGTTACTTGTTCCTTGTGTTAACTCTGATGGAGTAGTAGAAGATAGAATGAGTTTATAAGATGACACCAGCAGAGTACTCCTCATCCAGACATTCTGCAAGAGCTTTTGTAGTACTTAGTGGACTGTACCTAAATGTTACACATTATAAACATTTATTAGTGTTGTATGTATGTTTGTTAATGTTATTAAAAATGAACATAGGTCAAATGTATGAAGAGTAAAGACGCAATAGCTGATTTGGGTGAGGAAATCTAGAAATGTACAAACTGCAGAAGAGAAAGTTTTATTCATTAATTTTAAGAATAAATGTTTTAGAAGTAAGTAGTAAATTTTGTTTTTATTTAGGTAGAGATCTTCTCTTAGCAAGTTGTTCTCAAGACTGCCTGATAAGAATATGGAGACTGTGTATCAAATCGACATCTTTAGAAACTCAAGAAGATGACATTATAAGACTGAAAGAGAACACCTTTACAGTAGAAAGTAAAAGTAAGTAGTAATGAAAATGTTTGATTTAGTGATGATTAGATTTCTTAGCTGGTTCGTATATCTGTTTTACCAAATACTTATTTGAGGGTTAGCTTTTTAGAAATGTCAGATGCCTGCCTAAAACTGATAATAGGAATTTTTCCACTTTTTCTACATGAAGATGAGTCATTTTTCACATTTGAAACTTGATTTTCTAAAGTATTGCTGAAAATAATGTTTAGTTTTCTCTTAGTAAATTAATTTTTTAACTGACTAGAAATTTTCATTTTTGGTATGGGACACCTTATTTTGTACATACCGTTATTTGAAACCCTGTTAACCCTAAATAGACAGAGATGTATAATGTAGATTATCCATAGCTTTGTTGAAGGATATTCATAAGAGACAAACTAAAATCTTACATTTGACTAGTCTATAGATTTCTGATTTTCTTAGTGCCTAGCAACAGAACAATTGCCCTGCATGGTGGGTGCCAGTAGAATGTTGTATTTGTAGGAGATACTTTTGGATGCTTATCTGAATTTTAAAGCTGGCTGGCCCTCAGCAATATTTACTCAGGTATTCTGTTCTTTCTTAGTCTTCTTGATTCTAAAAATCTGTTTAGTTGAAGGTCTGGTAACAGTTTTAAAAGGGAGAAGAATCAAGCAGTACTGTATGGTGGTTATAGCCAAATAAGACATTTTCGTTGATATTTTCATTAATTATTTTGTTTGAAAGGTCAGAATACTGATTTGATTGCCATTATTTGTGGATTTACTTAGTGGTCTTTGAGACTGTTACACTGATACTGAGTGAGGAGAGTAAGGACGCAGGCATGACTCTTTTGCTTATTAATTATAATAGTTGCTATTCCAGGAAGTTAAAAAATAGAATATACTCATTAATATTTGTTTATGACCAAATAACAAAAATGTATCTACATTGACAAATGTTTTTTCTTCTGTAACTTTGAACAATGGGTGAAGTTAATAAAATTTTAGAATTTTTTTTTTTACTGTGGCTGAATCTAAGCTAACATGCTGTTGTTAAGTACTATGGAGTTGGTTCCAACTCATAGGGACCCCACACAGGGTTTCCGAGGCTGCAGATCTTTATGGGAGCAGAAAGCCTGATCTTTCTCCCGTAGAGCGGCTGGTAGTTTTGAACTGCTGACCTTAAGGTTCACAGCCTGATTCATAACCACTACGCTACCAGAGCTCCTCTAAGCTAACATAGTTTGTTTTAATTTTTTTATTTGCTCCCATTTCCATAACTGAGTTGGTTGTTAGAATGCTCTTTTTGGAAGAACTTTTTGGAAATAATACATTCATTGCTTTTGTTGCAGGTATTAAAATAGAATTTGCGGTTACTCTGGAGACTGTACTAGCTGGTCATGAAAACTGGGTAAATGCAGTTCATTGGCAACCTTCATTTTACAAAGGTAGGAAGAGAAGCATACGTGTACTCTTCATTTTAGTTAAACCTCCTATGTAGAATTTTGGGCTGACCACATGAAGTGGAGAATTTTTCATAGGTGTGATAAGGGGAAAAGTAACACTATGAGGTATGCACACCTTAGAAGAATCAGTGATTTGAGATCTAAAGGGCAGCATTTACTCGAAGACAAAGTTCAGAAGAATTAGGAAAGGAAGAATGGAAACTGGAAACACAGGGAGGAAGTAGAATAAGTGATGTTACATTGAGGGGATTGTATTCAGGGAGACGAAATAAAATGTGTATGAAGTATTGAATGTGAAACTGATGATCTGCTTTGTAAACCTTCACCCAATTTACAATAAAACGTTTTAAAAATATAGAATATTTTCAAGTTGACAAAGTTTAGTAGTGTTGGGCTGTTCTTTTAGACACTTGTTGCTAAGTGCTGTTGAGTCAGTTCTGACTCAGAGCGACTTTGTATAGGGTTTCCGAGGAGCGACGGGTGAGCTTGAACCATCGACCTTGCAGTTCAAACCAACTTTGCAGTCCAGTGCATTAACTTGTAGCATTGCACTTATTAGTTTAGTTGAAAATCACATTCTTAAATTAAAGAAAGTGTATGATCTGGACCATGATGCTAAAATGACCATACCCCATTGATGTTTTCTCTTAACAGTTTTCTCGTAATCCTTATGGAGTTTAAGAATCACAGGATCCTTTTCTGTTGATAGTGCTGGGCTCTGTTTTTGTTAAAAATCAAGACTCTCTTTTTCTCTTCTTTCTTTTGTTCTTTATTACCATTTTGAAGTGAGGGTTCTGTACAGACATGACCTGGTGCTTGTAGCATAGAGTCGAGCAAGGCATAGCCTCACATTCTTCTCTCCAGGAAAAAAAAAAAAGTTAATAGTAGTAGTGATAAGTCAGGTCACAACCATTTAGTTCATTCTCATATAGTTGCTGCAATTTAAAAAAAAAAAAAGAAAGAAATACAGATTTGAGAACCCCTTGTGTATCCTGATCCCATTTCCCTCTGTCCTTCTCTATAGTTCTAATTCAGTGAATAACCTTCCCATGCATGTTGTCATGCTTTTAATACTAATTTATATAACCATACCTATCATCTTATTTCATAGCTATTAAGGAATCCTGGTGTGGTGCTGTAGGATAAGCACTGGATTGCTAACAGGGAGGTCTGCAATTGAGAATGACAAGCTAATCCTCGGAAACCCTATATACAAGGTTGCTATGAGTTGGAACCAACTGGCGGCCACACAATAACATCATAGCTATTAAAGTTGATATCAACAGTTACAAGATGTATCCATGTTGATACATGTTGTTAAGTGCCATTGAGGAACCTTTTGGTTAGCAATTCAGTGTGTATTCTGCAGTGCCACACCAGGTCTCTGTCTCTATGTGTAGCTGTAGTTTATTTAATTTTATTGCAGTATAACACTCCGTTGTCTGATTAAACCATGACCTTTTTAATGTGTTCCTCTAATGGGAGACATTTATAAGTTTTCCAAATTTTTGCTGTGACAAAATTGTTGTAATGGACCAGTCTTGCAGTACTTTTAGTGGTGGTAGTGGTCGTTTTTCTGATAATTACAAGAATGATTCTAGTTGATCATCTCATTGGAAAGCATTTGTTTTTATTCCAAAGATGGTGTTCTACAACACCCAATGAGACTGCTGTCTGCCTCAATGGATAAAACTATGATTCTCTGGGCTCCAGATGAAGAATCAGGAGTCTGGCTAGAACAGGTAAACATGTGTCTGTTTGTTTAAGGAATGGAAAATTGTGTTTAGCAACTGAATATTTAAACCTCAAGTCTGTTTTCCTCTACCTGCAAATTTTCACTCTTGTGTGTTATATGATTATAACTTAAACACCTCTGGAATCAAATGGCTCTTCCCCTAAGAGCATTGTGGACTGCTGATTAAACATTTCTTTGTGTCTTTTTGTACAGGTTCGAGTAGGTGAAGTTGGTGGGAATACATTGGGGTTTTATGATTGCCAGTTTAATGAAGATGGCTCCCAGATCATTGCGCATGCTTTTCACGGAGCACTGCACCTTTGGAAGCAGAATGCAACTAACCTAGTAAGGCATTTTAAAATGAGGCTGTGAATCCTAATGAAACATAGCTGAAAACCAGTGTTTTTTATGTAGAACATTCTTTAGAAACACAGTAGAAGCATTGAGTTCAAGCACTTGTTTCTGTAGGCATTATCCTCTAATTATACTAGTTAAGACACTCATGTTTTTCTAACATGTTTCTGCAGCATTGTTGAGATCCTAAAATCTGCACCTAGTTAAATCTTCTACATAAGTGTAACGTGCTTTGGTTTGATTCCTGGCCCGACACCTTATACTCACCTGGCACCCATCTTCTCATTGGAAGCCTGCTTGTTGCTATGATGCTAACAGGTTTCAGTGGAGCTTCCAGACTAAGATGGACTAGGAAGAAGGCCTGCAGAACTACTTCTGAAAATCAGCCATGGAAATCCTTTGGATCACAACAGTCTACGGGACTGGGCAACATTTCATGCGGTTGTACCTTTGCGTCTCTGTCAATTGGGAGCTTTTGAAGAGCATCTAAGAGCAACCAAGAGCAACCGCTCTCTTATGCTGCATCAGTTTTTTGATGGATGTTTTCTGAGAATGTCTAGCTTCCCTGTCTTAAAGACTATCAATTCAATATTTTCTTCTTAGACTCTCCTAAGTGCTCACTTGTTGTTGTTGTTGTTAGGTGCCATCGAGTCAGTAAGTGCTCTAGAGAATGTTGTTAAATGAAGAAGTAATAAAAGGGCATTAGGATCACCTGTTATTTTGTAGTGGACTACATTGATGTTCTCAAGGGCTGTTGATTGGTGTCAATCTAAAGGACTTTACAGATTTGGGGCTCTTTTATTTCTCACATCTTTTTTGTCTCTTCTCAAAAAAGGTAATCTGTCTTCTTATGGTCATGAACTGTCTCTCAGCAGTATTCCTTCTCTTACTCATCAGTTTTTTGGGTTTAGGGAAATTGTTGCTGTTAGGTGCTGTTGAGTTGGTTTAGAATCATAGCAACTCTATATACAACAGAACGAAACACTGTCCAGGTCTGGGCCATCGTCACAGTTGTCATTACACTTAAGCCCATTGCTGCTGCCCCTGTGTCACTCCATCTCATTGGGGATCTTCTTTTCTGGTGATTATTTACTTTACCAAGAATGATATCCTTCTCCAGGGACTGGTCCCTATTGATCGCATGTGATAAGTATGAGAGATGAAATTTCACCATCCTGGCTTCTAAGGAGCAATTTGGCTATACTTCTCCCAACACAGAATTGTTTGCTTTTCTGGGAGTGCATGTATTGTGCACGTATGCAAGTATTCTTCTCCAACAATGTAATTCAAATTCAGCGTTTGTTTCTGGTCTTCCTTATTTATTGTCCAACTTTCACCTGTGGGAATATAGTGACTGAGTTTATGGACCCTGGAGCCAGACAGTAAGGATTCAGATTCTAGTTCCACCACTTAATGGCTATTTGGACATTATTTAATCTTTGTCTCTGGTTCCTCACCTCCTAAAAATAGGGATAATAATAGGACCTATAAATAGGGTTTTATGAGATTAAATGAATGAGTATCTGTGAAGTTTGTAAAAGAGGTTTTGACAAATACTGGATGCATGTAAGTATATTTTAAATAAATTAAAGGAACAAGCTCATTATGGAAATATGAGTAGACTCTGAATGTGTATCTGATGCTTCCTCTATAAAAAAAAAAATCCACAGATTTGTACAACCTTTGCTTTGTGAGTTTTGTAGCAGTGTGTCTGTTCATGTATTCTGACCTCTCAGTACCTGAGGTGATTTACTGTTTTCCTTGTGAGCGTTAGGATGGTTTTCATTGTTAACTAAACCACTGAATCATCAGCTGTGACACTTGCACAGTTCGATATTGTCTCAATTTAATTTCAGACTTAGCTCAGAGCCCTTTTGAGGTGTATTTCACCTTGTCTCTGAGGGCCTCCATAGAAAACAGCACCAGGTAGGTAAGGAGCAACTCAAAGCAAATGGCAGAGTCTCACTGTCCTGGTGCTTATCATTTTTAAAATAAATTATAAATAATATATAAAACTAAACATTTGCCATTTCAACAATTTGACATGTTTATCCTGTTGTATAGTCATCACTACTATCCATTTTTGTGCTTTTAACTTGAGTTCATATTTATGATGTTGTTGTTAAGTGCTGATGAGTCAGTTCTGACTCATAGTGACCCTGTATTGGGTTTCCAAGGAGTGACTGATGAGTTTGAACTGCTGACGTTGCCATTCAAACCAACCTTGTTTATCCTTCAGTGCCACACCAGGATATTCTTTACCAAATATACTATGTCTTAGTTGTGCTAATGTACTGGACTGCTGACCTCAAGATTGGTAGTTCAAACCTTTCATCCACCCTTGCGAAACATTCTACAGGGTGCTATGAGTCGGAACAAACTCGACAACACAACGAGATGTGCAAATAAACACTGCCCTTTATATTGCTATTTTGGAAAACGACTATTAGTCCAAAATTTTTGCTCATTACGTCAATCTTTTTTGAAACTTCTATTAGTTCTAACTTTTAGAATCAGTTCTTGTTTCACAGAGGAAATTAATAGCATTTCTTTTCAAATCCTTTTTCTTTTTGCCAGAAAATAGTATAGCTTAGCTTAATCACTGAATGTATTCATCAGCCTTGGCTTTGAAAGGTCTTTTGGCTATTTATGCACATTTAATTCTCCTCTAAAGATCAAGTTTTTCCATCCCTTGAAGTTATTCAAAAGAAGGCTTTGTGGACCAGGCGCCTGACCTTTTTTTGTCATTATTTGGTTACATGGTAACTGCTGTCTCCTTGGTCTGTGGATCAGCTCAGTTTGTCCCATCTCTCTGCCCTCTACATGGACATCTCCTTTTACTTCTACAGAAGGTCATCAGGTACACACTCAGGATGCTTTGACTCATTCCGTACGATACTCTATTGTATTCAGCTTAGTAGACTCTAATACCTAGTATGTGCCAACATAGTTCTGCAGGTTTCCCAAATCTGAACTCACACTCACAATCCTCCTACTAATACTGAGGTCAGTGCCATGACTGTCTCTGTTTTATCCAAGTGGTCACTGAGGCACAACTAGGGTATGCAGTAGCAGGCTCTAGGGGGCATTCAATCATGTTGAAAGAGGGAAGTTTCCCAAGTTTCCTAAATATATTTGAATGTTCAGGTTCTAATATCCTGATGGGAAAATAGATTCTATCATTTTATGACCCCGATATTTTAGATCCCATACTTAACTTTTTATCCTTGGTAGGGGACTTGGGTCTTTTCCATTATCAAACATGAGTGTTTTTTGTTTTTTTTAGTGGTATTGGTCTTTGATAAATGATCAGTGCCATGAACTCTTGTCATTGCAGAAAGAGTGGACTCCAGAGATTGTCATTTCAGGACACTTTGATGGTGTCCAAGACCTAATGTGGGACCCAGAAGGAGAATTTATCATCACAGTTGGAACTGACCAGACAACACGACTTTTTGCTCCATGGAAGAGAAAAGACCAATCACAGGTAAATCATCTTCCTATTTAACTGATTCATGTTCAAAAACAATGGTGCATTGTTGTTAATCATAAAACCCATTGCTGTGGAGTCCCTTCTGACTCACAGTGGCCCTTAGGTAGACTAGAGCTGCCCCTCATAGTTCCCAGTGCTGTAGTGGTTACAGACGCTGACTGCCATTCTTTCGCCTGTGGAGCTGCTGGTGGGTTTGAATCACTGGTGTTTTGTTTAGCAGCTGAGCACTTTACTACTGTGCCACCAGGTAACCTTTGGTAACCATTGTTGTTGTTGTTAAGTGCCGTCAAGTCGGTACCAACCCATAGTGACCCTGTATAGGGTTTCCAAGGAGCAGATGGTGAGCTTGAACTTCCAACCTTGCAGTTCAAACGGCTTTGCAGTCTGGTGCATTAACCCACAGCGCCACACCAGGACTAACCATTAGGAAAATGCAAATTGAAGCCTTGATGAGATACTTCCACACACCTTTTAGTCACAGTAACTAAAGTTCAAAGAAACAAAACAGTAGTAAGTGCTGTTAGGGATGCAGAGCGACTGGGGTTTGCACACACTGTTGTTATTAAGTGCTGTCAAGTCGTTTCCAACTCATAGCAACCCTGTGTGGGGTTTCCAAGGCTGTAAATCTTTACAGGAGAAAAATCGGCATCTTTCTTCTGCAAAGCAACTGGTAGATTCCAATTGCTGACCTTGTGGTTAGCCGCCCAGCTCAGAATCCACTACACTACCAGGGCTCTAGTACTGGTATATTGACTTTGTAAAAATTGATCCATTTGTTTATTACTTAGTACATTTAACATCAGTTAAAAAAAATAAATTTTTAAAAAAGTTCACTAAGGTAAACTAATTTTTATATACTAGCATCCTTAATGTAAGGGCAAGAATCTTAATTAAAATGAAATTAAGGAGATTTACTGTCTTTTGACTGTTATTTTTGTCAACCTACTAGTTGTGCCATTGAATGGTAAGTGGGGTAAAACACACATGGAATCTGTATTTCTTACCACTGCATGTGAATCTACAGTTTTCTCAAATAAGAAGTTCAGTTAAATCAAGGTAAGGACAACATTCTTAAACCACAAGTACAACTGGATTTTCCTTCTTTTTTATTCCAGTTTCCCATTCATAAATACAAGAGAACCTCATTACTGAACTCTGCCACTTGAAACTTGTAAATTGAATAGCTTTAGATACACTTTTCATAAATTTCTTATTCATACTCTTGCTACTTATAATTCAGAAATCAAATAGTTTTGCATAATGTAGTTTCTCTTACTCTTAATTTACTTTTCAAACCAAATAGAATTTGAAAGTGAGAGGTAGTTTAGCATAAAGGATGTAAGTGTGACCTCTGAAACCAGTCATTTCTTAGCTCTGCCATTTAGCATCTGTGGGACCTGATTCAGTCTCCATATCAGTGAAATGGAAATGTTATGGGATTGAATGAGATAATGCATGGAAGCACATAAACAATGTCTGGTTCATAAAGGGCACTCAAATGTTGTTATCCAAAGATGTTAAGAACATAGTTTTGACTTTATGTAGAAATTGAAATGTCATAACAGATTTATTCCTAATAATCTTAATTTCTAACAGTCTATTTATGTTGATATTATCATCTGTCCTGGAGCCTAAGCTGTACTTAATGGTAAAAAAAAAAAAAAATTTTTTTTAATATATTTAGCTGCAGTTTTACTATATTTTAAAGAAAAATATATAAAAACCAGAATTGAATGAAGAAAAATTTTTACTCACACTTTTACTACACAAGGATAATTTCATTAATATTTAAGGTTATTTCTTTATATTTAATAAAAAATACTTATTCAGTATTACCACCTCTTAAAACAATGTTTCTCCTAATTTTCAATTCCTTATTTCTGTGTATCTCTCCAGTTCAAATGTAATCATACATTGACAGAGAACTTCTAGAGGTTCAAGCCGGATTCACTAAACATTTTCTGTTAAGGGCCAAATAGTAACTATTTTAGAGTTTGCTGGTATAGAGGGAAAATCAAGACTATGATGTAGAAAGATACATCTATAACAAGAAAGAATACAAATTTTGCCAAAATTTATATTGATAAAATCCAAACATAATAATCATAATTAAACAATTATTTTTTTATACAAGCCCACTAATTAGAGGAATGAATTAATCTTCTTTAGAGTTCGGCATGAGTGTTCCCTATCATCGTAATCCCACCATTTGTCTTTCGGTTTGTTGTACTGTGGAGCCTTGTGTGTTGCTGTGATTCTGGAAGCTATTTGCCACAGGTATTTTAAATACCAGCAGGGTCACCTACGGTGGATAGGTTTCAGCTGAGCTTCCAGATGAAGCGAGACTAGGAAGGAGAGACAGACTACTTGTGAATATGTTGTCACAGAAAACGTAGTGGAACACTGTCAGCACCAGAATATTGAATACTGAAACATGATGATGAAGAGCACCAGAATATTGTCAGACATAGTGGGAAAAATGAGCCCCTCAGGTTGGAAGGCACTCAAAATACTATTGGAGAAGAGCTGTGTCCTCAAAGTAAGAGTTGACTGTGATGATGCAAAGGGAGTAAAGTCTTCAGGATCTTCATTTGCTGATGGAGCACAACTCAAAATGAAGAGAAACAGTTGTAAACATCCATTAATAATTGGAATGTGGGATGTAAGAAGTGTGAATGTAGGAAAATTGGAAATTGTCAAAAATGAAATGGAACGCATAAACATCGATATCTTAGGCAGTAGTGAGCTGAAATGGACTGGTAATTGCCATAGTGAATCTTGACAGTCACGTGGTTTACTTTGAAGAGGAATGGCTTTGTGTCCATCATCATAAAGAACATATCAAGATCTGTCTTGAAATACAATGCATTCTGTGATGGCATAATATCCATATGCCTACAAGGAAGACCAGTTAATACCACTATTTTTTTTAATTTGCACACAAACCACTAAAGTCAGTGATGATGAAATTGAAGAATTCTACCAATTTCTTTAGTCTGAAATTGATCAAACATGCAATCAAGATATATTGATAATTACTGGTGTTTGGAATGCAAAGGATGGAAACAAAGAGGAAGGATCAGTGGTCGGAAAATATTGTCTTGGCGATAGAAATGATGCTGGAGATCCCATGACAGAACTTTGCAAGACCAATGACTTCTTCATTACAAATACCTTTTATAAACAACATTAAAAGACCTCACCAGAAGGAATGCACAGAAATCAAATTGACTACATCTGTGGAAAGAGATGGTGGAAAAGTTCCATATCAGCAGCCAAAACAAGGCCCAGGGATAAACTGTGAAACAGATCATCAATAACTCATGAGAGCCAAAATATGATCTTGTACATATCCCATCTGAATTTAGAGACCATCTCAAGAACAGACTTGATACATTAGACACTAAAGATCAAAGACCACAAGAGTTGTGGGGTGACATGAAGAACATTATACAGGAAGAAAGCTAAAAGTCATTAAGAAGACAAGAAAGAAGGAAAAGACCAGAATGCATGTCTGAAACTTATTCTCCAGCATGCTCAAGCAAATGGAAGAAATAAGGACATAAAAGAGCTGAACAGAAAATTTCAAAGGTCAGCTCGAGAAAACAAAGTCAAATATTATAAGGAAATGTGCAAAGACCTGGAGTTTGAAAACCAAAAAAAGGAAGAACATGCTCAGCATTTCTGAAGCTGAGGGAACTGTAGAAAAAATTCAAACCTTGAGTTTCAGTATTACTTTGTGGGCAAAATGTTGGATGATGCAGATAGCATCAAAAGACGATGGAAGGAATACACAGAGTCACTATACCAAAAAAGAAATGGTCGATGTTCAACCATTTCAAGAGGTAGCATATGACTCAGATCCAGTGGTACTGAAGAAAGAAATCCAAGGTGCGCTGAAGGCATTGGCAAAGAACAAGGCAATGGGAATAGATGGGGACTACAAATTGAAATCTTTCAACAAACATGCATCCTGGAGGCACTCACTCATCTATGCCAAGAAATTTGGAAGACAGCTGGTTGGAAGGGATCCATATTTATGTCCATTCCAAAAAAGGTGACCCAACGGAATGCAGAACTCATTGGGTAGTATAATTAATGTCACATGCAAGTAAAATCTTGATAAAGATAATTTAAAAACCGACGTAATGGCACCTAACAAAAACAATCATCAAAATCAGAATAATGCTCTGGATTGGAAGGTTGGTTTGAACCACAATGTTGGAACCAACTTGGTGGCACTTAGCAACAACGCCATCACCATCCATTATAAATATTACCTTATTAATGCTGTGTAGTGGTTATAAATTGGGCTGCGAATTGCAAGGTCAGCAGTTCTAAACTACCAGCTGTTTCATGGGAGAAAGATGAGGCTTTCTGCTCCTGTCAACATTTACAGCCTCGGAAACCCTGTACAGGGTCGCTACAAGTCGGAACCGACTCCACGGCACATAACAACAACAACAATGGTGATTTGCAGTGAGACTTTACATATTGTAATTTTGAAAATGACTAACTCAGGTAAACCAAACAAAAAAACCAGCAAACCAAACTTACTGCCATGGAGTTGATTCCATCTCACAAGATTTTCTAGACTACAAATCTTAACAGGGCATTCAGCCTCATCTTTCTCCTACAGAGGTCCCGGTAGGTTTAACTGCTGACCTTGCGGTTGGCAACCCAATGCCCACAGCACCACCAGGACTCCTGAGGTTCTGCCAGATAACGGTCAATCAATACACATGATTTTGATTAAGCATTTAATTGCTTAGAAGGCAAATGACATGGAGTGGTTTTGTAGCTCTTGATGATTTGACATGTTGCCAGTATGTCTTTGTGGTGGTGATAGTGGTTGTGTGCTATTTCTGAGACTAAATCTTTACAGGTACAAGCAGAAAGCCTCATCTTTGTCCAGTAGAGAATTGCTGATCCTGCAGTTTGCAGCCCAATTTGTAACCCACTAGGCTGCCAGGGCTCTTCCTAGTCAGGTTTGTTTTTGAGTGCCGTCGACTTGGTTTCAACTCATAATGGCCCTGTCTAGGATTTTTAAGGAGAAGCTGGTGGATTTGAACAACCAACCTTGTGGTTAAGCAATCCTGCACTTATCCTACAGGACTATTCATAATCCTTTGGGGGTGGGGGTGGGGGGAAACCTGATAGATCGAACTTCACCAAAAACCTTTGCTCTTTCAAAGATATTTTTAGAATGAAAAGACAGGTCACAAGTCAAATCTGAAGGAAATATCTACAAAGTTTACAAGGCTGCAAAAAGTTTATGGGCACTATTTTGTTCTATCATACATAGGGTTGCTGTGAGTCAAAACCCACTCAACAGCACCTAACAACAACACTCCAGGTCCCTGGGTGGCACAAACGGTTTTACAAATGGTTTGACTACTGACCTAAAGGTTGATGGTTTGTATTTCTTCCACAGCAGACAACAGACATGGAGCCTTGGTGGCAATGACTGACGTGCTCCATTGCTCATGGAAGGGATGACAGTTCAAACCCAGCAGCTACTCTGGGAGAATGACCTGGTGATGTGCTCCTGTGAAGATGCTTGGGACCCTATGAGGCAGTTCTACTCTGTCCTGTAGTGTTTACTATCAACCAGCAGCACACAGGCATATGAATTACATATTCGTTCCTATGTTGCCATTATATGCTGACCTCAGGTGTATTGAGCAGTTCAAGCTTTCTACTGCTCTGTACAAGCACATGCCCAGATATGAGTGTGAAAGCACTGCAAGTATGGATTTTGAAGTTACAAATAATTATTAGTGACCAAGTGAATTCATCAACTTGGAAGATGGAAATGACAAAGATCAGCAGTATATATCTACCATAATTCATCTAGCCATTCCATTTATAGGTATTGATCCAAGTGCTGTAGGATCAGCACTGGACTGCGAACCACAAAGTTGGCAGTTCAAACCCAACAACTGCTCCTTGGAAACCGCATAAAGGGTCTCTGTGAGTCAGAACTGACTCAAAGGCACTTATCTACAATAACATTCAAGTGAAGAGACTGTGGTGGCTCCATATGATAAGCACTGGACTGCAAACCCACGGTTCGAGCCCAACTGCTCCTCCCTGGGATAAAGATGAGACTTTCGGCTCCTAAGTGACCTATACAGGGTCACTATGGGTCAGAACCAACTCAAGGCACTTAACAACAACTACGTCCAATAGAAATGGAAGTCTATATCCATGCAAAGATTTGCTCATAACAGCTTTATTGGTAAAAGCCAAAAATGAAACCGTAAATGTCCATGAGTAGGTGACTGGAAAACCAGTGTGGCATAACTGTCTCAGGGAAGACCAGTGAGCAGTACAAAGGAGGGATCTGTTTATGGGACACAGACGAATCTTCCTTGTGGTCAAGTTTCCATGGCAAATGCAGTAAATAATTTTTAGTGTACTGTTTTGCTTGTTGAAAAGAATTTGGCTTTTGAAATGTGTTTTTGTTTTTTAATTCTGTTTCAATGCCCAGGTGACTTGGCATGAAATTGCAAGGCCTCAGATACATGGATATGACCTGAAATGTTTAGCCATGATTAACCGGTTCCAATTTGTATCTGGTGCTGATGAAAAAGTTCTTCGAGTTTTTTCTGCTCCTCGGAATTTTGTGGAAAATTTTTGTGCCATTACAGGCCAATCACTGAATCATATACTTTGTAATGTGAGTATGTTGTAATTAAATCTAGTCTGTTCATTTAAACTTTAAAAATTTGACTATGTGCTGTAAGTGCAGTGTATGGGCAGAAAGGAAGTCAAATAGTTAATTATTTGCTTCACGAACTTTTGTGTATACTGTTGACATTTAGTGATTTAATTGTTAAAACCAGGAATTTTGTATAACAAATCATCCCAAGGTTCTGTAAAGCATCATTAAAATTTTAATTAAGATATGAATGTATCAGTCGACATGAGTTGCTGTTTCTATACCTAAGATAAACAGAATATAAAAGTTGGGTCTGTTTTCATGGAGATTACCATCTTGCTGTAGAGTAATTAATTACCTGTAATTATTATATGAGTTCAGTTGATTGCTAAATTTTTGTAGTGCCAAGCTAAATTTCATAGAGGAAGAAGTCACTACTGGAGTAATGAGAAAATGTTTAAGAAGGATAAGTGCTTTTTTTTTTTTCAAATGTTTATACCCCTTTCCTTAAAAGAATTAAACTTCTTATAAAAATGTATTGAATATAAACAATATACATTAAGTGACAAGTTTTGAAAGAAGGAAAAATAGGAAGATGGTTATGAAACATATATGTGAGCATCATATGGTCCTATTCTTCACATAGAGATGGATCACATATTTAATTCTGAACTTTGCTTTTAATAGGCAGAAGAAGAGAAAGAGCACTTGGGGGTCAAGAGCTGTTGGGGTGTGTGATAGTTAGGGCTTTGGGTAAACTCGACTGGGCCAGGATTCCCAGTAGTTTAGCAGTTGAGATATTCTTCCCATGGTGAAATCTAATACAGCGTAGTTAACTTTATGATGATTGGCTATGAGCTGCCAATCAATTGGAATGATGTTTCCTTGGGTGTTTTGCCTGTTACCAGTATAAAGGACATGCAGGAAAAGCTTGCTCTTTTCCACTGGGGACCTGGACCTGGAACTATACAATTGTGAGCCATTTCCTTGATATAAACTTGTTTTTTGTTTTTTTTTTTTTCTCTCTCTATCTATCTATATATATATGTGTGTGTGTGTGTATATATATATTTCACTGGTTTTGCTTTTCAAGACAGCCCAGGGCAAGATAGGGTGCTAGTTCAAAGGGAAGCGTGTATAGAGACAGGAAGAGAGTATGACGGGACGTCAGATGGCTAAGGACCCTGGGAGATGGGCATAGTTCACACTGGGATTTATAATTCCTAAACAAAGAAATTGATGATGGAAAGCATTTTTGAATGACAGGAATTAGCTGGGGGCAGTATGAATTTGCCTGTCAGTGTTTCTTACTGTGATGGCTTTCGTGTTACCATGATGCTGAAAAGTGTTTTGAATGCCGGCAGGGTCGCTCATGGTAGATAGGCTTCCACTGAGCTCCAGACTAATACAGACTAGGAAGATGGAAAGGCAGACTTCCGAATGTTTAGCCACTGAACACTCTCAGATAATACAAGAATAGTTACAGTGACCTACTGTACTAGGCAAATCTGCTGCACAAGACCTCTTTAAAGTGTTCAAGAGCAAAAATGTCAGTTTGAGGACTAAGGTGCGCCTGACCCAAATCATGGTATTTTCAGTAGCCTCATATGTATGTGAAAGTTTTACAATCAATTAGAAAGACAGTAGAAGAGTTGATGCATTTGAGTTATGGTATTGGAGAAGGATATTAAAAGTACCACAGACTTCCAGAAAACAAACAAATCTGTGTTGGAAGAACATTCCTTAAAAGTCAAGATGACCAGACTTTGTCTCTCATACTTAAGACATTTTATCAGAATAACATGCTTGGTAAAGTGGAGGTTCAGAGAGAAAGAGGGAGTCCCCCACAACAAGATGAATTGGCACAGTGGCAGCAAAAATGGGCTCAAATATAGTGGTGATTGTGAGGTTGGCATAGGACTGGGCAGTGTTTTCGTTTTGCTGTGCAGTAGGTCACTATGAATTAGAACTGAGTCTATGGCACCTAACAAGAAGGACAGGATGAATTTGAGCACATAGACTCTGAAGTAGCACCAGCCTATCTAGGTAAGACTGGAAACTAAGTGGTGATTTGAGAGTAATTTGAAATGAAACAAACTAAATATCCTGGAGTCGATACTGAGCAGCTAGCACGTCAGGCTTTCTTGATTATGTGAAGAGGATCTAAGACTCTTTTGCTTCTGTCTTCTAATAGTGGACTCTGAGAATGAGACCAACACAGAGGTCTGGATTGTGTGATTTTATGTTGTGGCTGTGGGGTGCCGTCAAGTCTGTTTTCAACTCACAGTGATCCCATGTAACAGAGTAGAACTCCCCAATAAGATTTTCTAGGCAATGGGTAGGTTCCAACCACCACTGCCATACCACAGTTCCTTGCCCACTACTATATAGCCAGGTATATGGGAGTGAAGAAGCAGTTAATTTCAGAATCTCTCAGTTCTAGGGATTGAAATATGGTTTTAGGATTACATAGGAGGCTTACATTCACAGGTATATACTTACTACATTCTGTGTACTAAAATACAGGAATCCTATAGGCTGGAAAGCCTCTTGCTGTATTTTAGGTTTTGCTCCCATACTTAGTATAGGGGTAGATATGTAGGACTGCTACTTAACTTTAAAGTAAACATCCTGGGTAGCTGTTGTTGATGGTAGTCTGCATTCTCCTTGTTTATCTCTAGTACTAGTTCAGAAATTTAAGTTAGTATTTATATATATATGACAGTTTTGATATAAGTAGAGCGTGTCAGCAAATTATCAGTATTACTGCTTCAAATGAAATGTGTGTTAAAAGTTATTCAAATGCATTCTGGTTCTTTCTGGGAAATATTTACTTGCATGAGCATTGTAGGGGATGTGTCTGTGAAGCCCTCTTGGGAGTGGAACTCTGAGCCTTCCATTTCCAGCTCTTTTTGTCCAAAGTGAGCTCATTACAGACCTTGTCAGACAGTGGAATCCATTCAGCTCTTGTTGTTCTTTGAGCTCATGGATGTAAGGATGCCTGACTTGGTGGGTTGGTAAGGTTTCAGCATTAGGTGAGGCCTGTCTTTTGGAGAATGATTGCTTAGCATTGAATCTGTTGGTTCAGGAAGTGAAAGGCTGGACAGACATCACATCAGCACCAGGTAGTCTTTAAACTTTGTCATTTATTAGCACAAATTTTATAGTGCTCTTAGCTTTTAAAACTTAACCTTTTTATTCCAGCAAGATGGTGATCTCCCAGAAGGAGCTGCTGTCCCTGCTTTGGGATTATCAAATAAAGCTGTATTTCAGGGTAAGTCTTTAATCTCCAAAAATCATGGAAATTGATGTTGTTATTGATGACTGACGAGTTGGTTCTGACTCAAGCAACCCTGTATAGGGTTTCTAAGGAGTGAGTTTGAAGCCACTGCCAGCCTTGAGGTCCAGTGCATTACCTACCTTAACAGTACCACGCCAGTCCAGTACCCTACACCACTGCCCCAGGACTCCATAGCAACACTGTTGTTATTAAATGCCATCGAATCAGTTCTGACTCAGAGAGACCCTGAATAGGGTTTCCGAGGAGTGGCTGTTGAGTTTGAACCTTTGACCTTATGGTTCAAACTGATGTTGCAGTCCCATACATTATTCTACAGCACCACATCAGGATTCCTAGTGACATATACAGTAAACAGTATCACCTGTGAGTACTATGCTCCCTTAAATTATCAAATTCGTGAGACCAAACAGTCAAAACTTTCCCTAAAACAAATGACCAGAAGCGTGACACAAAACAAACAAAATGGAAATAATGATTATGTTGACACATTGTGGAAAATGTAACCAATGCCATGGAAAAATGTGTATGAAACTTGTTACGTGGGAATCTAATATGCTATTTAAGCTTTCACCTAAAACACAGTTTTTTTCAGCTTTTATTGTGAATTGATTGACAGTTTATATCGGAGAGCATCAGCTTTGCACCCATACTATCATTTTGTTTCACTGCAGTGATTGCAGTCCCCTCCATGCATCATCATTTAACAATATTTACTTGTATTCCCTTTGTTTGTTTGTTTTATTGATGTACATACACAAAAACATTCAGGAATATATAATCATTTAAACAACCAAAGGGTACATTGTGCAAACCTGCCTCCTAGTCATCAGCACACAGCCTTTCTCTTCCTATGAGTCTAGAGTCCTCAGCAGCTCTATCTCTCTGTGCCATCACCTCTGCCTCCATCTCTGGTGTCACTGCTTCTCTGCTAACACACAACTGTTTTCAAATAAAAATACAAATCTATATATTTGTATGACTTGTGCTTAATATACTTAGGTAAGTAAAAAATATTGCTATAAAATCATAAAAACTTTTATTAAACAAAAACAACAGAATGTGAAACTTTTGTTTATCAATATATTCTCCATCTAGGTCTGTACACTTCTGAAGGTGGTGTTTCCATCTCTAGCCCTTCCCTGAAGAACTCTGCTCTTTCACCTATAGCACACCAAAAGAGCAGTTTTGGAATCCTTTAGGGACTCAAATTATGTTCCTTTTTAATGTTCTTTGAGTTTGGGGAACAAAAAAATACTGAAAGAGCAAGATCAGGGCTGATGGGTGGATGGGGAAGATTTCCCAACAAAATTTTTCTAGGACAGCTCTGCTATCATTAAAAAGCATACTGTCAGTTGGGAAAAATTCCTGGGTGCAACTTTCCTGACTTTTTTTCTCACCAATGTGGCTTTTGATTTAAAAAAAACAACAAAAAACTTCATAGTAAGCCCATCCCTTGTGTTTGTCCTGTGTTCTTCAAGAAAATCTGTCATGATGACCTCTTTGGAGTCCCAAAAGACAGTCACCATAACCTCTGTGTTGACTTCTTTGCCTTGAGTGTAACTGGCCCAACAGAGCTCCTCAGAAGCCACTGTTTTGATTGGATCTTTTTTGAAGATGAATACAAATGTATTACTGAGAGAATTTGTCTGCAGCCAACCACTGATCACAGAGACATGTTTTAATAGTGATTTATTTGGAATAAATCCATGCATGCAGGTGTGGGAACCCTAGTAAGAATACTTTTTGATTTGCCATTGTATATTGCATGTGATTTAAAACAAAATCACAATACATGCATCCAATCCCTCAAATGTGTTTATTGTATGATATGTATACTATATACACATGCAGACCACCAAAATAGGTAAGCTTTCACAAAGTGTGTTTCATGGAGCACTACAACCATGGGATGTTAATGGGGGTAACTTGAAAAATATGAAAAGGTGTGGGAAATGTTAGGTCAAAAAAAAGAAAGGAATTTATGGAATTGACTAATGTTCCAAGAAATGCATTTGGACAAAAACCCTTGGCTTTGGAACCATGTGGAAGTAATTGAAGTCCAGAACCACTACTTTCCATTTGTTGATCTTGGCACACATCTACCAGAAAAACCAAACTCACGAACGTTGAATTAATTCAGACTCAAAGCAATCCTGTATAGGATTTCTGAGGTTGTACATGTTTACGGGAGCAGAAAGCCTCAACTTTTTCCACTGGAGCAGCTGGTGGCTTTGAACTGCTGACCTTGAGGTTAGTGGTTCAGTGCTTATCCTACAACACTACCTTGGCACAAGTATAGGGTATAAAAAGATATATTTATGATGTTGTATTTCTTTAAACTAGGAGATATAACTCAGCCTTCTGATGAAGACGAACTGTTAACTAGTACTGGTTTTGAGTATCACCAGCTGGCCTTTCAACCGTCCGTACTTACTGGTAAGATATGGCAAAAAGCTCATTTAATAAAATCACTAGTAGACATAGTATGATATCTGTCACTGCTGACCTAAATACACGATTTAGAATTCACTTTTTAATTTACATATAAATTGAAAAAATAATTGTAATACTATAAATTTGTTATAGAACCTCCCACCGAGGATCATCTTTTGCAGAATACATTGTGGCCTGAAGTTCAAAAAGTGTAAGTTAAACTGTACTTAGTGCTTTTGTGTGATTCTGATGTAACATGTGATTTCCCCTACCCTCCTCTACAACACGTTTTTCTCCTTTGCCTTTTGGCTACCCCATGCTTAGGTTCTTTAGTGTTGCTACATAAATGACAAGAACCAAATCTCATGTTGATTCTTATGTCATTATGCATTTAATTTCTTTCCTGGGACCCCATCAAACCATTTCATAGTTTGTTTTACTCAGTGGGAGGTGAAACTTGTTCATTAATCTGATTGTTTGAATGAGTCATTATTATGTTTAGGACACTGGGCTTTTTCTCCAGTTTCCAGGTGAAAATGTGATATTCTTGAATTTTGTTAACTAGCAGAAATAATATCCTTTTGACATTTTCAGTATATTTACTAATAAAATGGTCATATATTTTCTTTTTTTTTTAATTGTAGTTATGGACATGGTTATGAAATATTTTGTGTTGCTTGTAGCAATTCAAAGACTCTGCTTGCCTCAGCCTGTAAGGTAGGCAGTGTTACCTTTTATTCTAGTTGTCACAATGTATTTCGGTCATCATACTCCAGAGAGCTTGGGCGTGATGTAGGCCACTGGTGCATGCTTTTTCTGAGCCTTGCTTTCTCAATCTGTCTTCTCCTTCTCTCCCTACAGAACATATAGTTGTATTTTAAATCTATTTCATTTTCATTTCTTTCTTTTTTCTTCTTCTTAAACATATGGCTTGAGATTATTTATGCCTTCCACTCTGATTGAATCAGGTGCCTTAGAATGATACATGAAATGTGCTAAGTATAATTGGAGTCCTGGAGACCCAGAGAAACGAGACAACGAAGTTTGATGTACAGATCATCTGTTTCTCGAGAATATGTTTGACTCCACCTTAAGTAAATGTAGTCCCTTGGCCCATGCAGGGCCCTCAGCTAGCCATCACCCCACAAATACTGTAGAATAGTACACTTCAGACATTTCCTGAGAGAATGAAACTGATCACTATTCAGTATTTATCCACACTCTATCAGGGATTTGTATGGAGGGGCACAGCTGCTCATATACCCTTGATCTCAGGACAGTGCTCTATCACGGAAGACTGTCTTCTTCAACAGAGCCTGAGACTTCAGGAGGGATTGCACCTGGAACTGTGAAGGAGGAAGGAGTTACCCACCTAGGTAGCCAGATCACCCTCACATCCTATCCACATTCTATGGAGGGAGTTAACACTTATGGAGAATTGTCTGAAGGGTTGGAAGCCATCACATTTCCTCTACATTTTTAATTTTCTAAATTTTCTGAAATTTTTTTTAAACATGAAGATAAAAGCTGCCTACCTAAACGAGCACTGTGTCCTTGCTTTTGCCACAGGCTTGTATTGAGGGTCATCATAAGATACATTGTGTGCTGTTGTACCACGTCCCCCAGTTAGTCCCCTCTGAGGACAGAACTGAGGGTTCCTTGTTGAAGAGACCTTTGGGAAGAGTGGGTCTCAGAACCAAGAACAATTGTGGCGCTATGCAGCAATGCATTTGTTTTTATCATAGGGCACTATCAATTATGTAAATGATAATCGTTCCCTTTTCAGATTGGCCCACTTCTAGCAAGCACGTGCATCGCTGTTTTTAAGCTAACATTGTTTTTAACAGCTTAATCTAGATGTCATTGGCATACTATAAGCTGCATGTTTAAAGTGCTCAAGTTTGAAAAGTTTTGACATGGGTATACTGTGAAAACATCATCCTAATCAAATAATAAACATACACATCAACTCCCACAATTCCCTTGTGCTCCATGTTACGCCCTCTTTCCTGCCCCTAGTCCTAGCCCTTCCTAACCCTATCCCTAGGAAACTGCTAATTTGCAGTTTCTAAAATTTTATATCATGAGTATAAGAATGTCTGCCCTGAATGTTCTACTCATTTTAAGGACTGTATCTGGATGGGACAAAGAAACCTAGTGGAGCATTGTTTAACCGCTTTATGGGAGAAAGATGTGGCAGTCTGCTTCTAACAAGATTCTAACCTTGGAGACCTTATAGGTCGTTCTACTCTGTCTTATAAGATCACTTGGTTTGGGATCGACTTGAAGGCAATGGGTTTATCTATATGGTAAACCCAATTTACATCAGCAACTTGAAAGTTTCGATAAGAAGCTTAGGAGATCAGTGAATTTGTTAATGGTGGGATAATAATTTGGGAAAAGAAAGTAAAAATAAAGGGACAATTTGAAGAGTGTAATCAATGTTACTGAATTGTAAGTGTAGAAATAACTGAATTGGCATATGTTTTGCTTTGTATATTTTCATACCAAAAAAATTATAAAATGTTATATAAATGGAATCAGATAGTAGGTACTCTTATTATTTTGTCTATCTTCTTTCAGTCAGCATAATTATTCTGAGATTCATCCATGTTGTGGCATATATCTTGACTTCATTTGTCTTTATGGCTGGGTAATATTGTATGGGTATGCCCCATTTTTTTAATCCCTTTATCTGTTCATGGGCATTTGTGTCCACTCTTCAGTGGTGGTGGTGGTGGTGGTGGTTATGTGCCGTGGAGTTGGTTCCTACTCACAGTGACCCTGTACAGGGTTTCCGAAGCTGTAAATCTTTATGGGAGCGGAAAGCCTCATATTTCTGCCACGGAACAGCTGGTTGTTTCAAACTGCTGGCCTTGCAGGTCGCAGCCCAGTTCGTAACCTCTCTGCTACCAGAGCTCTTTGGCTCTTATAAATTGTGCTGCGGTGAACACTGGTGTACAAGTCTCTGTTTGCATTCCTGCTTTCATTTCTTTAGGATAAATTCTTAGGATTGACATTACTGGGCACATGGCAGTTCTTCAAGTCCTCTTCACCAGCTAGGTTGTGTCATCTGCATATTGCAGGTTGTTAATGAGTCGCCCTCCAATCCTGATGCCACATTCTTCTTCATATACTTCAGTGTCTTGGCTTATTTGCTCAGCCTACAGATAGAATCAGTGTGGTGAAAGGGTATAACACTGACCCACATCTTTCCTGATTTTAAACCATTTAGCCCCCCTGGTTCTGTGTGAACAATTGCCTCTTGGTCTATGGACATGTTCCTTGTGAACACAATTAAGTGTTCTGGAATTCCATTCTTGGCCGTATTATCCATGGTTTCTTATGATCCAGTCAAATGCCACTGATTGTCAATAAAGCACAAGTAAACATCTCTCTGGTATTCTGTGCTTTCAGGCAAGATCCGTCTGACATCAACAGTGATATTCCTCATTCCTCTTTTGAATCCAGCTTGAATTTCTGGCAGCTCCTTCTTTGTTTTTGGCAGTTCCCTCTTGCTACAACTGTTTTTAAATAATTTTACCTGTATGTGATACTAATGATATTCAATGAATTTTACTTTCTGTTGGGTCATCTTTCTTTAGAATGAGCATAAATATGGATTTCTTCCAGTGGGTTAGCCACTAGATAGCTGTCTTCCAAATTTCTTGGCATAGATTAGTAAGTGCTTTAATGTTACATCAGTTTGTTAAAATATTTCAATTGGTATTTTATCAATGATTCATGAAGGAGAGGTCTGGTTGCACAGTGACTAAGTTCTCAGCTGCTAACCCAGTAGATACCAGCTACTCACTCAAAGAAAGATGTTGTCAGTTTGCTTTGATAAAGATTTATAGCCTTAGAGACTCTATGAGTCTTGGAAGCCCTATGATGCAGTCCTACTCTGTCCTGTAGGATCTCTATGAGTCAGTATTGACTCAGTGACTGTGGGGTTTTTTATGAATGACTTTTAATATCTTCTTGTGCTTGTAGGCCATATGTGTTTCCTCTGTAGTGCAGTAACTGTCCAAGTCTTGGATGATCACTTGATAGGGTGGTCTTTCTCTTGTTATTAGCTGTCATTGAGTCAGTTCCAACTCATACCGACTCTTTGTGCAACAGAACGAAATGCTGCTTGGTCGTGTGCTGTCTTCACAATGGCTGTTACGTTTGAGCCCATTGCTGTTGCCACAGTGTCTCATTGAGGGCAAGAGAGAGAGGGCCTTCCTCTTTTTTGCTGACTCTCCACTTTACAAAGTGTGATGCCCTTCTCCAAGCTGGTTCTTCCTGATAGCATGACTGAAGTATGAGAGATGAAGTCTGGCCATTCTGGCTTCTGAGAAGCATTCTGACTGTACTTCTTCCAACACAGATTTGTTTGTTCTGCAGTCCATGTGTACTTTAAATATCCTTTTCCAACACCGTTACTCAAATGTATCAATACTTCCATGGTTATCCTTATTCATTGTCCAGCTTTCACATGTATATGAAACTATTGAAAAGGCTTGAGTCAGGTGCATCTTAGTCCTCAAACTGATGTCATTGCTCTTGAACACTTTAAAGAGGTACGAGCAGCACATTTGCCCAGTGTAGTACATCATTTGATTTTTTTGACTGCTCCTTCCAGTGGATCCAAGCAAAATTAAATGTTTGACAACTTCTACCTTTATCCATTTATCAGGATGTTATTTAATGGTCCATATGTGAGAATTTTGTTTTCTTTATATTGAGGCGTCCTGGTGTGGCGCTGTGGGTTAATGCGCCAGACTGCAAAGTTGTTTGAACTGCAAGGTCAGCAGGTCAAGTTCAACAGCCACTCCTTGGAAACCCTATACAGGGTTGCTTTGGGTCAAAACTGACTCGAAGGCACTTTACAACAACAGCAGCATATTGAGGTGCCACCCATACTAAAGGCTGTGACCTTTGATCTGCATCAGTGTATATTTTACATCATCTTCATTTTCAGCAAGCAAGTTTATATCATCTGCATTTCACAGATTGTTAATGAGTCTTCTTCCAGTCCTGATGCCACATAATAATTCTCAGATTATTTGTTAAGCATACAGATTGAATAAGTATGGTGAAAGAATACAACCCTGATGTATACCTTTCCTGATTTTAAACTATTCAGTATACCCTTGTTCTGTTTGAACCATTGTCTCTTGGTCTATGTACAGGTTCTTCATGAACTCCAGTAACTGCCTGGAATACCCATTGTTTATAATGTTAACCATGGTGTATAATGAGCCACAAAGGTGAAAGCCTTGCATTGTCAATAAAACCAAAGTAAACATCTTTTTGGTACTTTCCTGTTAGTTTGTAGAAATTCTTTGACTCCAAAAAACTTTTTCCCGTTCTGTAGATTTTTTCACTTTGTTGATAAAGTCCTTTGGTAAATGAGGTCCCGTTTATCGATTTTGTCTTCTGCTTGTGCTTTTGGTGTCTAACTTTTAATTGTACAATGAATGTACAGATGTTTATTCTTATAAAAAGAAATCAAAACATGGTTGTAACGTAAATCCCTGGTGTTTCATGTTTCTGATCCCAGGCTATACATTTAGACTAACATGTAAATGTATACATAGAAACAATATAGATATATTTACTGTGTTCTTTTGCTTGGTGTTTACTTGAATTGCTTCATGGTTCTGTCCTGTAGGCAGCTAAGAAAGAGCATGCAGCTATCATTCTCTGGAACACTACATCTTGGAAACAAGTGCAGAATCTAGTTTTCCACAGTTTGACAGTCACACAGATGGCCTTCTCACCTAATGACAAGTTCTTACTAGCAGTTTCCAGAGACAGGACCTGGTCATTGTGGAAAAGGCAGGACACAGCATTACCTGAACAAGGTAAACCAGCTGAAAGGTTGTTAGTGGAACAAATAGGTCCATTTTATCCACGCTGAGCAACTTTGGTTAAGAGAATCAGAAATGACGTTCAGATTCTTGGCAGAGCTTCACAGTCTTACAGCCTTTCAGGGCTCTGTGGTAACTACCAAGGGTAACCTCCCTTGTAACATGTGCAAGGGATTCCTAGGTTCACTTTTTTGTGATCATATGGTTAGCATGGTATGTGTCCAGACATCGCAGTTTAGAAAGCATCTGTAGAAAATTTTTATTTTTCAAATATTTGCCACAAATACCAAATGCCCTCACAAACCCTAATGGATGACATCTTCTGAGCTAGAAATGTATGACATAGGAATAACAATACTTGGGCTGAATGATTTCTTCTCCTTTCTGAACCATTTTATGAATATGGTAATATTTTAAATTAATGACATTTAAAGGGAACAATATCCTTAGTCTTTCTACTCAGCCCTGTCACTTTGGTAACATGTCACATGTAGATAACATGTTAGCCCATTTAATCCTTCATTCTGAGCCTGGCATTAAAAAAGAAAAAGACTATGTCATTTAGCCCCTGGTCTCTTTTGATAGGTAAATTCTAGAAAGTGTTTAAATGTATTTGTGTTAATTTTGTTTATTTTTCCACTGATGACTTAGTTTGATCTTGTGATATTTCTAGTTCCTAAGTTTCATGTGGAGTCCTGGTGTGGCACTGTGGGTTAATTTACCAGACTGCAAAGCCATTTGTACTGCAAGGTCGGCAGTTCAAGCTCACCATCTGCTCCTCAGAAACCCTATACAGGGTCGCAATGGGTCAGAACAGACTTGACGGTCCTTAACAACAAGTTTCATGTATATTAAAGAATATTAAATGTATATTAAACTAAGGGACTATATAGATGCCTGGTATGGCACTGTAGGATAGGCACTGGATTGCTAATCTCAAGGCTAGCAAACCCACCAGCTGCTTCTATACAGGGTCACTATGAGTCAGAACTAACTCGACGGCACTTAACAACAAGGGACTACATGGAGTTCTGGTGTGGTGCTGTAGGATAAGTTCTGGAGCGCTAACTGTAAGGTCGGTGGTTCAAACCCACTAGCCACTCCTTGGAAACACAGCATTGCTGTGTGTGGAACTGACTTGATAGCACATATAAACAACGTGTACTCAGCAGAGAGAGCAGCAGTGATTTCATTTTGCTTCAGTAGTGATTTCCTAACATGGAGCATTTACTTTTTAAAAAAATGTTTTATTGTGAATTATGTAATAGTTTACATGGGAGAACATTAGTTTTACATTCATCATCTTATCGTATATCGTTTCATTGCCATGATTACAATCCCCTCCATGCATCATCAACTAACCACAGGGTATACCCTGCAAGCCCTCTAACCCCCTGGTCTTCTGCACACAGCCCCTCTCCCTCTCTGGGTCTAGAGTCCCCAGCCGCTCCATCTTGCCACGTCATCGTCTCTGCCTCCATCTCTGGCATCACTGCTTCTCTGGGTAAGGTCCCACTCTCTGCTCTTCTCCCTGGATGGTCCCAGGGACCTCTGCTCCTAGACTGCAAGGTTAATCACGCCCCTCCCTGCTACAAAATGTCTACCTTTACATTTCCAACCCTCACAAGCAGTCCTGATAACAATTATTCACTATTGTATCACAAGAGACCTATCCGCATTTCCTTTCATCAGCTCCACCTAGACAGATTGTATTCTACTCAGTGGAGAGTCTACCTTCCTCCAGGCCCTCTGGATCGAGATTCCCTCTTGAAAGCTTGTAAGCCAGTCACTTCTTGCCTTTGAAGCCCCCATTTTGGGTCGCCAACGTCCAAGTTGCCCATCCCTGCATTTACTGTTTAAACTGTGAAAGTGATGAAGCTAATAACATACCTATTAATTTATTATTTTTATGGGTTATTGATTAACCTGTTCCCCATCCCTGCTCAAAAGCAGTTACATGTTTTAAATTCAGTCCATGTAAGGTCTTAGAGATTGTCTAACATTTATAATAACACAAGGAAAGTGTTTTTGTTTTGTTTTGTTTTATGTTAGTTAGATGGTACATTAACCTTTTTTATAGCCCAATATGTAAGTCTGGCTAATTCCTAAGTAGGGCTAAATTGTTTTAGGCTTCTTCCATAGGCATACATTGAAACTTTAGTTGCATGGATGTTTGTCATCAGTCACAAGACAGCGACTGGTAAATATAAAAGCATCCTTTACTAGGAAAATAATGCCAGCTATTTTCTGGTGAGGGTTCATTCACCCAGACTAGTTCCGTTGCTAAAGTCAGCATTTATAAATTGATGACTAAATCGCTCAGCAAACATGGCATTTAAGCAGTCTTTCTAAAAAGTATAGAAGGTTTTTTAAGAAAAAGAATAGCCAGTTCCTCTGTTTCATGAATCGTGTATGCCTGTTTCTTACAGAGCCTATCTTCACTCTCTTTGCCTTCACCAACCAAGTCACCGCTGTGCACAGTCGGATTATTTGGTCTTGTGATTGGAGCCCTGATGGGAAGCACTTCTTCACAGGGAGTCGGGATAGAAAGGTGAATTTCAGAAAGAATGATACATTTTCAAATGTAAAAAGTGGCATTATTATCGGGAAAATGTGAGGAAAGAATATAATCCTGTCTCTAGTGTTTTTAGTCAGTTTATGTGTTCCATTTTATTATTCTTATACATTCATGAAAGAGCATTTAAAACAAATTGTGTAAGTGCATTTCCCTGAAATCTCAAAGAAGTTAAAAGAAGACCTTTCAAACACATGATCTCCTTCAGATGGCCCCAGTGGAAGAAAAGTACACTTTTCTATGTTGTTGTTGTTAAGTTAGTTTCAACCCATAGAGACCTTGTATAGGGTTTCCTAAGAGCAGTTGGGGCGCTTGAACCGCTGACTTTGCAATTCAAACTGACTTTGTATTCCAGTGCATTAACCCACAGGACTCCACACTTTTCTATAATGCGTGATTATTACCTTTATATTCAGTGACAGAGGCGGAACACCCTAGCCTTTAAAAACTGAAAGATAAACTAGCTAGTAGAGTGTACTTATGATTCTTGTTCTCTCGTGCTCTCATGTCCACCTTCCTGTCTCTCCTTCTCTTTACCTGTCCTCTCCTTGTTCTGCATTTCCTCTTGTCTGGTGGTGTGGATGCGGTTTACCAGGTCCTTTCCTCTCACTGCCTTCTCCAATCATAGACATGGCACCAATTAGAGAAGCGGGGAGGGCTAGCACAGACGTGACATCACTCAGGGTAAACCCTTCAGCGCCAGTCTCTTTAACATCTTTGTGTCACACTGTTCCTTCTGTTAGCATGTCTATCCGTTTCTTCCCCCTGCACTTACTTACCTGCACTGTGCTAGGTGCAGGTACACCTAGTCAGGAGAAGATGGCCTCGCTGTGGCTCCCTGGAATGTGTTGGGGTGAGATGGGTTGTCACTCTCTGCACTCTGTTGGAAAAGGGCATCTGCTCGTCTTGAACAAACTCTACTCCAGCATCTTGCTTTGGGCCAGCATTTTGTAACTGTAGTCCCTCTCCCTTTTTTTGTTACCAGCCACAGACCCTTGAAACATGAGTTTCCAGGGAAACCTCATATGTTATGAGTGGGTATCATCAAAGTGACCCTGACAGCTCAAGTGCTTCCCTGAGCCAGAGGGTGGTGGTAAGGCAGAGCCAGGGGCTTGACAGATGCCTATAAATTTGGTGGCAACTTTTTGGGTCGGTGCCTGAGTTTCTCAGTGAGGACATGACTGATGGAATCTCACTGCATCAGAATGTGTTTCATGAGTCTAGGAGCATTTTAGTCACCCCTCGGATCTTTAAGCTGGAACAGTCTACCCTTAGACAACACACATGTGGTCTGCACTGTCACGTCTCAGGTCTTGGCAGGTACATCATCCACAAATGTAAGGTTATATCTTTTAAATACCACAGTAAATATTTCACGTTGTTTCTGCCATCAATAGTCCTGGTGCTAATGCACTGGACTGCAAGGTCAGTTTGAACTTCAAGGTCAGAGGTTCAAGCTCACCAGCCGCTCCGTGAAAGCCTTATATAGGGTAGCTATGAGTTGGAACAAACTTGACACTTAACAACAACAACATGCCATCAAAACCCCTCTAATGTATTCCTAGAAACCTTGAGAAACGGAAAACTTTACAAGTTCTGTCTGTGTGTTTAGGTGGTTGTCTGGGGCGAGTGTGACTCCAACAATGAATTCATGGAGCACAGCATTGGCCCATGCTCCTCAGTCCTGGACGTGGGGGGGTCTGTGACAGCCGTCAGCGTCTGTCCAGTGCTGGACCCGTCACAAAGGTGAGTTTCTATGTAGGGCTTAGTTTGCTGTCTTCTGTAAGAGAGTCAACGGTTTCTCATTACTTAGCTCTCTTATTTCTTGTTTTTTAAAATGAGATTTTCAGTGTTCGTTTTTCATTTGTGGGTTTTCTTAGCTTCTGAGTTGCTTCGTCCATAATGCTTATGCTTCTCCTAAGAATTTCAAATGGATAGAGCTCTGTAATTCAGAGTAGTGATACAGAGTGTGACTCAACATTTCTTAGAGCCAAGTACAGGGTAGTGTGGTGTTTTCTCTGTGGTGAGCGTGTGTGGGAGAAATAGGGTCTTTGCAGCCAGCAGCAGAAACACTGGCTGGTGGGCTCGCTGTGGTGCAGAAGTCAGAGGGAGCCTTCGTGCTGTTCACGAAGGACTGCACTAGAGCTGTCCGTGTTGTTAGAAAGACTGGGCAGTTGGGAATGCCATGAAAACTGCTTCAGAGTTGTGACGGAGATAGCAGAACTTCATGTCTAATTCATTGCTCTCTTTTCCCTCCCCAGATACATTGTGGCGGTAGGATTGGAGTGTGGGAAGATTTGTTTGTACAGCTGGAAAAAGACTAATCAAATTCCAGAAATAAATGACTGGACCCAGTGTGTAGAAACAAGTCAAAGGTATTTTCTTACTGTTTTCATCTCCCTCGGGTTAGACTGCAATTGTGGTGTCTTCTGCCACATCTGCGGAGAGAGGGTCATAATTCTTTGTTCATTGTGCTCAGGACTAAACGCAATCTCTGTTCTGTGTACTCTTGTGAAATTGATGTCTAATTACAAGGATATCATTGCATTTTGTTTTTAAAAGTTTGCTTGACCAAATTATGTTGCAAAGAATAGCCCCTTGAGACAAAATGTTTTGTTTTTATTATCATCAAAATATACAAAAAACCTACAGCAGGTTGGTACTTTGCACATGTCCAATTCAGTGACATTGATTGCATTCTTCATGTTTTCAATCTTTATCCCAGGAAGATATGTTTTTAACACTACCCTATTTGAATTTATGTACAGTAGATTTCTTAAAAAAATTTGATTTGGAATGTTGGTGAATCTTTGAACGGTTAGATGGTGTTTGGTAACCACATCCTTGCATTGGAACACCTCAGTTTATATGCCCTAATGGAGCAAACTGTTGGGTGCCTGTGAAAACCCAGTGACTGATTTTCAGGTACTCTCTCATGCTCTCTTATATGGGTCCTTGCCACCTGAGTGGACTTAGAGTGCCTGCCATTTACAATCCCACCTGTGTATAGGTACTGGCAATAATTTCAAACTTTACTATATTTGATTTTTATTCTCAAAAATGTCTCCTCCTCCTAAACTTTTATTTTATGTCATATTTTCTTAGGCTTCTTCAACCTTCATAATTTCAGTACCATTCAAAATAGAATTTCAAGTACAACTCCCAATGACAGTATCATGATGAAGGTGATTGATGTAACAGGGAGACTTGTGAACATATGTCTTTAAAATATATTTGGTTCACTGGAGCTTGTCTCCACATCACCAAAGCTGTTAGTGTTCATCATATGTGCGTTTATTAAAAGGAACTCCCGCCAATATTGCTGCTGCTCTCGTGGCTTCTCTCCCACACCGCTGATCTTAGATTTAGCAGCAGAAGTAGTTTATGTTGCTGGCTTACTGAAGGGGCAAGAACTGCAGTAAAATTCCATGTTCCAAGCATTTGAAATCATTCTCTTCCTCAACTTCCCTCCTTTCTCCTTGCCTGCCCACAGTGTGCATCCTGCCTCTGCCTGGTACTTGGATGACTTCCATAGCCTGAGTTTAATAGACTGACAGGAAGCCCCTTAGAAACCAAAGAGGATATTTGAAGTTTTCATTTTGAGATTTCTTTTTTGTCAATATGATTATTTGAGATAGTACAGTAGAATGCATTCTTGACTTACCATGTTATGTTATTTGGATTGCTATTATTCCAGGTAACAAATTTTAAGTATCTTTCTTTTAAAAAGTTTTTTAAATTGTGGATGGGTTAAAGGTCATAAAATTAGTTTTTAATTGAACAATCTATACACATTTCCTTTGTAACATTAGTTATAATTGTCTCGATATTACAGTGCTCTGCTTCTTCCTTGGGTTTCCCATCCTTCTTTCCTGCCTTCGGAGCTTTGTTTGAGAGCAAATGCTGCCCTTTTGGGTTCCTTTGGTGAATTGTTCTGAGGAGCATGTTCCTCACGAATGCTATTGTTCACTTTAGAGACTTTGTTGTCAAACATCTTTCAAATTAAGGTGTGTTTTTTTTTGCTCATAGTGAGACGCAAAGGTACTGTAAACAAACATTGCCTTTTACATTTATTTCCCAAACACCATATGTTCCAGATGTGACATGTTAACATACTGGGTATGTTTAAGGGACATTAGAGCATAAAATCTCACCATCTTGAAGCTTAAATAGCCAAATACATACTGCCCCTCAAAGTCTCTCCTTTAGGAAACAGTAGACCAGTTTTACTTTCACCTCTTCAAATCATAATATTAACCAAAAAATAGTTCTGGAACTCTTCTTTAAGAATTATACTTGTATTAGTTTATTAGTGACAAAAGACCATCAGTTTGATAAACCCTTTCATGGTTTTATCCGTTATGATCTTTTACTGTATTTTTAAGCTTGGCCTTCATATTATAAAACCCAACTCCAAATGACTGTTGGTTACTTTCATCCTCAAAGGAAGATGAACTGCCATTGAATTTATTCAGCATCCTAATGTGTATAATCTGGAAGTGTTTTCTTTAGAAGAATTACAGAAAACAATGCAGCACAGCATCCTTGTTGAAATCTGTGGAGCCTCCTATAGTGACCACTTGCAAGTGCTTAATAATTTAGTGTGCTGATTTTAACCCTGGCAGGATCCATGGGACATAAAAGAGGACTTCAAAAAGTTCTTGGGGGAATGGGATTATGAGATAATGTAATTTTTCCTGGAATTTTTTACTGTGTTATACCACTTGACTGTGGTGTCCCCTGAGACTATGGTCCTGAGCCCCAGGCCCAGCAGCTCATTGCCTTCAGGTGTCTGTCTGATAGTATCTGGGAAGTTTTCATCATTTTGCCCACTGTATGCGCCACCACATTCTTAGTTGTGTTTACAGGACAAGCAAAATGCTCATGTACAAATATCCTCATTCAAACTCTTAGATATTTGTGGGATACATGTAAATACATATAGCCACTCTCTCTCCATTTACCCCTTAGCCTATGTCTCAATCCATTTAGCTATACACAGAACATTGTTATTTCATTGAATTTTTTTTCTTTTTTTAATTAGAACTACAGTTATTCAGTGTTATCTTAAAGACTTAATAGCCATTATAATGAATTCCATTGGTGATTAAAGTTTGACAGAAAGTCCTTGTTTTTTCTAGTAGTGTCATTGGCCTGTAAATAAGGTCTGACGTTTTAAATTAAATAGAATAAAATATTTCAAGGCTAAAACAAAATTGGTAAAATATTAATTTGGTATTTAAAAGCTGTAGATTGCTATTTTCTAATTTCACGTCCATTTGTGTTAGCAACATTAACAGGAAAGGGCATGCCAATTAAATTAATTTCTAGGTGATCACCTGACAGAATGTCTTATAGTCACCATGTATAATCATTTCATGATTTTTTGTTTCTGTCTTTGTTTTAGCCAAAGTCATACACTTGCTATCAAAAAACTTTGCTGGAAGAATTGTAATGGAAAAAATGAACAGAATGAATCAGAAAGTGCCGAATGGCTATACTTCGCCAGTTGTGGAGAAGATCATACTGTGAAGATATACAAAGTTAACAGATGTGCACTGTAATGGACTTCATGATCACTAGTATCTTAAATAATGTAATCATTGGAGACTACAAATTATTTATCATGTAAATACATAATCTTTCATTACCTCTGTAACTTAGTTGATTTTCATTTTTGCCATTAGAGCAGTAGCCCTTATTTGGGTCAGAGATCTTTGAAAATCTGGCAAACTTGTTATATATGCTTACATACCCAGAACTGTGTACATACTCTTAGGGTGGACCTGCAGACCTGCAGCCATGGGTCCTGGATGAAGAGCCCCTGTGTTTTCTCTACTCATTAATAAATTTTCTTTAATTTTATGTTGTTTTGGGTCTTCTCTTTTCATATGCCCCTTTACTCCAGAGGGAGGGTATAAAAAAATAAAACAAGAGGAAATCCATAGTGCTCATTTCCATGTTAACAGCTTTTGTAGTTAAACATAGATCACAAAGTGTACTAACTCGACTTCTTCCCAGAACACACCAGAGGCCAAGGAATTTGGTAGGCAGTTTTGAGTATAAACTTCAGTTAATCCTTTTCAGTTTTTTTAGAAGTACATAGATTCTTCTTGTAGGCCTTGATTTAGAGTAGAATATTCTAGCATTTAAATTGACAGGTGTAGGTGCTTACATACAGAGTTCTGATTCTGAACTGAAATGACAGCTGAAGTCATCAGAGTGAAGATTGCCCACTAAGAGAATGTGTAACAGTTGCAGAGAGGAGACATGAGTGCCATGACAGAATGTTGGGGTGTGTCAGCTTAGGGCTAGGAGGACCTGGAGAGTTGGTCAGCTCGAGAGTTGGGGGACAATATAGGCGAGGATGGGAGAGTAGTCTGAAGTTCTGTTGAGAGCGGACATTTTGTCCAGACCCTACTGGAACATGGAGCTGCCTGACAAATTGGCATTACAGTGCCTTCTGTACATAACAAATACGCCGAAAGAAGAGAGGAAAAGAATATTTATGCTAAATGTTCTTTAACAAAATATTTTGCTTCCCTAGGAGTGGTTAAATGATGTTTTGCATTGCCTGAATGTAAGTTTCTAGACCAGCACTCTATCCAGTATTTCTAGTCCAGTAACAGTATAATGTGAGCTGGGTTTATAATTTTAAAATTTCCTAGTAGTCACATAATAAAGTAAACAAATCTGGTGAAATTTCTCTTTACATCGTATTTCCTTTAACACAAAATATCCAAAAATACTATCATTTAAACATATCATCAGCATTAAAAATTTAGGGATTTTTTTTTTTTTTAATAGCCCATTTCAGTTGAGACTAGTCACATTTCAAGTACTAAATAGGGGTATGACGCTAGTGGCCATTCATATTTGGACAGTGCAGTTAGACACTCAAATCTGTATAAATTCCATGCCCTTTCCTGTTAATGTTATTAACACAAATGGACGTAAAATTGGAAAATAGCAATCTACAGCCTCTAATTGTTTTATGCCCTCAGTCAGGTGTGCATGTGTATGTGTACCAAGACAGGAGCTGAGCTTCCCAACCTCAGAGATCAAGATGTAAGCCACTAGGGAATGAGGGTCTTAACACCCATGGGCATACTGGGACTTGTTCTGATCCCTGTGCATGAAGGACTCTAGTCTGGATTTTTGGTGATTTTGCTCCAGGATATTGGCCATTCCCAAAGCAGAATCAGTGGACTAACTTACTCCGTTAGAGCCTTTTCCAACAGAGAACTCAACCCACTAAGGTTGCCTGAAACCACACCTAACCTTGGAGGCAGGTGCTGTTGGTTACTCTGTCAGTTGAATCTATATAAATAATTTCCCAAATTGTCCTAAAAGATGTTTCTCAATAATCATGCAGGTAATTCAGTTCAATAAGTGTTCAGAGGATTTTTTATTTTAAGTGCCATCGTGTCAGTTCTGACTCATAGCAACCTTGCATAGAGTTTCCGTGGAGCTGGTGGATTTGAACCGCTGACCTTACTTATCCTATAGCGTTACATCAGGATTCCATCCATATCCTTGTTGTGTGGCTTCAACTCATAGCAACCCTATATCAGGTTTTCAAGGAGTGGCTGGAAAGTCTGAACCGCCGACCTTGTGGTTCAAACTGACCTTGCAGTCCAGTGCTTTATTCCACAGTGCCACACCAGGATTCCATCCGTATACTTGTTAAATGCTGTCTAGTTGGTTCCAACTCAGTGACTCTCCTGAGTTTCCAAGGAACGGCTGGTATGTTTGTGGTCTGGTGCTCATCCTACAACACCACGCCAGGACTCCATACACTAGGGGCCTTCAAAAAAGTTCATGGAAAAATGGAATTAGAGGATAGTGGGGTTTTTCCATGAACATTTTGAAGGCCCCTTATATTTTATTTACTCCTGTCTTATCTGTTAAAAGAGCACCACTTGTGCCATATTTTAGTAATTCATAATTTGTATCATTTAAAGCAAAAAAGACGGTGTCTGGAACTTACCTGTAGAGGAAGTGGGAAGTATTTCAGAATCCCCAACCTGCCCTCTCCATCCCCCTAACATCTCATTTTACTGTTCAGTTCAAGCGTTGAGTCCAGATTGATGCATAATAGTTGTCTTCTGACCATTCCAACTTTCCCAGAAAGCAGAAGTGAGCAGGTTATTTCAAGTGCCTTGGACCACAAAAAGCCATATCACAGTCATATCTTCTCTAACAACCAGAAGGAAAGCAGAATTGGCCATTGATTCCAAAGGGAAAATGGATCAGAGGGAGACCATACAAATTCAGGAATAAAAACACAAAATCCCTCGTTTCCTCTCTTAAATGAGCAAATCCTGGGTTCCCTGTGAGAGACTTTTCCATGGCTGTCTGCCAGGCTGTGTGTGTGGAGATTTAAGAGAAGGAGAGACTGCTTTTTCCTGCAGTGTGGCTGTGAGAGCTTCCTAAACTTCTGCGCATCAAAATCACCCAGAAAGCAGTGTATCTGGTGGTGGCAGTGTTGAGTGCTGTCAAGTCGGTTCTAATTCATAGAGACCCAGTATAGGGTTTCCAAGCAGCAACTGGTTGGGTCTGAGCCACCAGCCTAGCACACAGTAGTCCACTGCTTACCCTACAGCTCTACATCTGGTGTTAGGGTTTGAGAATGAACATTTCTGACAGGTTCCCTATAATGCTACACAGAGCAGGTGGGGAACAGTCACAGAGCGAATTGCTTGAGCCTCTCCATGTGCGGTCACAAGAACCATGAGATTACATATGTAGTATAGAGCTGAAAGGAGCTCTGGTAGGGTAGTGGTTACCAATCGGGCTGCGAACCACAAGGTCAGCAGTTCAAAACTACCAGCTGTTCCGTGGGAGAAAGATGAGGCATTCTGCTCCTGTAAAGATTTCGCAAGCCCTGTACAGGGTCGCTATGAGTCGCAACCGACTCCACAGCACATAATAACAACAGAGCTGAAGGCAGGTTGTCTCACTGGGACCTCACAGCTGTTCTATGTGGAGTGGTTTTCCAAAGTAAAACTCAAAAAGCAGCAGTGGACTAGAGTCTACTCTACAAGCCTACTATGGCCTACAATCTTTGGCATAAAATTAATTTTCATCATTCTTCTCAGTACCTAGCACAGTGTATTGCACATGTAGGTGCTGTAGAGTCTTTTCTGACTCAGTGACCCTGTGGACAACAGAAGAAAGCATACCTGGCCTGGCGCCATGTTGTTAAGTGTTACCGAGTTGTTTCTGACTTATAGCAACCTTGTATAGGGTTTCTGAGGAGCAACTGATGAGCTTGAACCTCCAATCTTGCTGTTCAAACTGACCTTGCAGTCAGCGCTTTAACCCACAGCACCACACCAGGACTCCCATGTTGTTGTTGTTAAGTGCCGTAGAGTCCATTCCAACCCATATCGACCCTGTATAGGGTTTCCGAGGAGCAGCTGGTGACCTTGCAGTTCAAATGGCTTTGCAGGCTGGTACATTAACCCACAGCACACCGCCCCCCTCGCCCCCACACACAAATCCGGTACCTAGGCTCCCACCTAACACCCTGAACGCAGGGGACCCGAGACAGCCGTTCTGCCTGGCCACCTGAGGGGTTGCAGTGCTGGTCCCGATCGCTGGGAACTTCCCGGTTTGCTTGGCGCGCCGCCGCTAAGGGCGTATTAACCAACGTCGTGGTTTCCCAATCTTTCCCTCCCTCTGACTTTGCTCAGTCGGTCCTCAGAAATGCCAGCACCGGTCTCACTGCAGAACAGCGACCTGCGAAGTCTAGCTTGCAAAAGCCTCTTTCGCCCTGCGCCTGCTCATCCCCGCCAGGGGCCAGGTACGTGGGCAGGGCCCGGGACAGTCGGAGAGGTGAACTGCTGCATTCCAGGAGCAAAAAGCAACCTTTTCCTTCTTCCATGGTCCTTTCTGTGGGACGAGACCATTGTCTTCCGTGTTTGGAGCATTGTGCGAGCTCTACTGGGAAATCGTTTAATAAGAACACGAAGAGGGACATCATACTTGCTCGCAGGTGGGAAGAGGGCAGAGAGAATTGAAAGACCGTGAGTCAGCGCTTCGAGCCAACCAGGCCAGCCCTCCAAGCACCGCCCCTCGGCGGGCTCCGGCTGTCCTGGCTGCTGGGAGGCGCTGCCGGGGCGGAGTCACGCGCACTTCCAACAACCCGGCAGACTGACGGCGCGGCCGGCGGTCTGGCGGGCCTGGGCCATGGCCTGCGGAGTGGCGCAGCTGGAGGCCGGGCTGCTGAACTTCGAGCGGTTCCGGGACTCGAGCACACCGCGGTTAGTCTATGGCTACGGGCAGCGCAGCCTGCACGAGCTGCGGGAGCACGAATTCAGCCGCCTGGCAGGTGAGAAAGCGCAAGAGCGGGTAGCCTGGCGGGGCACCAGCGCGGGGGGCCACCGTGGCTCCTCCGCGTGCTTTCTTGAACCGATGTGGAAGGAGCCACAGCCTCACTTGAAGCACATTTTGAATCGGAAGATGAGGGAGATGTGTGTGTGTCCAAGTGTCCGCTTCATAGAAGTTGCTTCTTGAGGTCCCACCTACCGCCCAACACTTTTTGCTCCTCTTGCTCCTGTGACATTTCAGTGGCTCAGAGCCAACCTAGTCCTCTTTCACTTTCCCCCGCTGTCCGTGAATGTGATTTAGGGTTATTTTTGCCTTTGCTTGCCGGGAGATCCCATCTCTAGATGTCCTGCAGGAGCTGGGGCTGCTAAATGCGGGACTGCTTAAATGCTGGCGCCCAGGGCAGGAGAGCAGCAGGAGGAGACTCGGTGGGCACGCCTGGCAGAGAGGCCTTCAGGGATTTCGCTGGGATTGCCCACAAACAGTTTTGATTTTCGAAGCCTAATTTTTCTCATTCATGTGGGACTCAGAACAATTCCTCTGAGCGCTGACTTGGATATTAACAAATTGTGCAATTTGAGCGTTCTGTACTGGCCGAGCCTGTTGGACACGGGGACCCAGGGTAGAGTTTTCTGGATGGACAGCTGCAGTGAGTAACAAGCTGATTAAATTGCAATCAACCTCAATATGATCCTGTGGCTGATCCCAACCCACTGCTGCTGGGGACGGGGGATGGGGTAGGGACTTGGGATCCTTCCTTGTGTTTCAACACAGGGGGTACCGACAGCCAAATGGCCAGAGAGGGACCATAGTTTTGGATCTATTTAAAATGTCATGATGAACAATTGGTAACTGCCACTTTGCTTGTGATTGGACTTCTAACTGCAAGGCCAGCAGTTCGAATCTCCCAACAGCTTCGTGTCAGAAAGATGAGGCTTTCTGCTCCTGTAAAGATTTACAGTCTGGGAAACACTCTACAGGGTTATATGAGTCAGAACTGACTCGATGACACACAGCCACCACCACCTTGCTTGTGAAGGCTGGACACACAGTGATTAAAGCGCTTGGCTGTTAACTGCAAGGTTGGTAGTTCAAACCCACCAGCGGCTCAATGGGATAAAGATGTGGCAGTCTGCTGTTGTAAAGATCACTATGTGTCCTGAGTCGCTTCCTACTCTCAGTGACCCTGTATAGAGTTTTAAACCTTTACATCATTGCAGGAGCAGAAAGCCTCGTCTTTCTCCTGAGAAGTGAGTGGCTGGTGGATTCAAATCACCAACCTTGTGGTGCACAGTCATGTGTTTTTGCTACCCCATAGGTTCACTGTGAGTTGGAATGGACTACTGTAGTGGGTTTTTCTAGACTGTAAATCTTGATGGGAGCAGCGAGCCTCATATTTCTCCTGTAGAGTGGCTGGTAGGTTTGAACCATCAACCTTGAGGTTAGCAGATCATCCCCTAACCCTCAGGTTTCATGGTGGTAGAACAACAACCATGGCTTACATCTCATTTCAGCTCTGAGGGCTGTGTCCCCTTTCTGTTTAAGGAGGAAGATTGAGGAGGGAGAAGGAGGGGTTTTTGGCAGCCTATCTACTTCCTCCCCTCTTCACTATGAGCACATTTGCCTGTTCCATATAGCCTGACCTCAGTCTAGTGCTTCTGCATTCTATGAGCTTTTTAAAATGGAAATTTCCTTCTCTACACAGAAATGGATACCAGTGCAGTGGGCACCAGCAGATGTGGTGGGAGGAGGCACCCCATTCTCTTAAAACAAATCCTAGACTTTGTTTCATTCAATCTATAATTATTTCAGCACCACACCCCCTTAATCCACTAAATTCTTGCAGGCTCACACCCTTCATTGGTCTGCCTCTTTCCTCAGCACTCCCCTGGGAAAGTGGAGGCACATTCTGGGTCCCTCCTTGGTTCTTTTGTGTGCTTCAGAGAACAGCACCTTTTCCCTTAAATGCAAATTTTAGAAGTGATAGCCTAAATCCCAGGTGGCCTTGAGAGACCTTTTAGCACCTACTGAATTTATGTTGTGTCCTTTATTTTGTTTTAGTGTAAGTCACCAATATTTTCTCTATATTGTGGATAAAATACACCTTTGTGGACTGAACCCTCCCATCACTGGGAATCTTAGGAACATAGCATCCACTTTCTTATAGAAACAAATGAACTAGAGAGAGGGTAAGAAAAACAAACAAGCAAAAACAAATAATGTAACCTTCTCCACTCCCTCCTCCCCACCACACTCCTGCCCCCAAGTTTTAAAAAACAACAACAACAAAAGTATAGTTTTATCTGCCACTAATCTACCTGTATTGGCTGCGTGTTGCTTTCGTGCTGAAGCCATGGCACTGGTGTTTCAAATCCCAGCAGGATCACCCCTGGTGGATAGGTGTCAGAAGTTTTTCCAGAATAAGAACAGACTAGGAAGAAGGAGCTCTGGTAGTATAGTGGTTACGAATCAGGCTGCAAACCTTAAGGTCAGCAGTTCGAAACTACCAGCTGCTCCGCCGGAGAAAGATGAGGCTTTCTGCTCCTATAAAGATTTACAGCCTCAGAAACCCTGTACAGGGTTGCTATGAGTCGGAACCTATGCCATGGCACATAACAACAACAACAGGAAGAAGGAATAGATAGTCCATTGCTTAGGGATTAGCCCTTATAAACACTATGAATAGCAGCTGAACATTGTCTGGTATAGTGTCTGAAGATGATCCCCAGTAGTTGGAATGAACTCAAAATACGACTGAGGAAAAGCTGCCTCCTCAAAGTACAGTCAATTTTAATGATGTGGATGGACCAAAGCTTCCAGGACATTCATTTGCTAATGGGACACAATTCAAAATGAGAAGAAGCAGCTACAAAACACCCATCAATAACCAGAACATGAAATGTATGAACTATGAATCTAGAACAATTGTAAGTCATAAAAAATGAAATGCAGTACATACAGGTTGGCATACTAAACATTAGTGAGCTGAAATGGACAGGTATTAGCCACTTTGAATCTTAGAATTATATGGTTTACTATGCCAGGAATAACAAATTGAAGAGGAATGGTATCACATTAATCATCAAAAAAAAAAAAAATTTCAAGATCTATCATGAAGTACAATGCTGTCTGTGATAGGATAAATCTATACACCTACAAGGAAGACCAGTTAATACCACTGTTATTAAAATTTGCATAACTTCTTTAGTCTGAATTCAAATATGCAGTCAGAATAATTACTGGGGATTAGAATGGGAAAGTTGGAAACAAAGAGGAAGGATTGGTATTTGGAAAATATGGCCTTGGTGATAGAAATGGCACTAGAGAATGCATAATAGAATTTTACAAGATCAATGACTTATTCGTTGCAAATACCTTTTTTTTTCAACAATATAAACTGCAACTATATTTGTGGAGTTCACAAGATGGAATACACAAGAATCAAATGGATTGTATTTTGGGAAGACACGATGGAGAAGCTCAACATCATCAGTCAAAACAAGGCTAGGAGAAGATTGTTGATCAGATCATTAATTGCTCATACACAAGTTCAGGGTAATGCTGAAAAAATTAAAACAAGTTGATAGGAACCCAAATGCAACCTTGAGTATATCCCTCCTGAATTTAGAGATCATCTTAAGAACTTACTTGATGCATTGAACACTAATGACTGAAGACCAGGAGAGTTGGGGGATGATATCTTACGGGAGGAAAGCAAAAACTCATTTGAAGGACAAGAGAGAAAGAAAAGGGCAAAATGGATATCAGAGGAGACACTGAAACTTGCTTTGGTATGTAGATTAGCTAAAGCAAATGGAAGAAAGGATGAGCTGAACAGAAAATTCCAAAAGGTAGCTTGAGAAGACAAAGTTAAATATTACTATGAAATGTGCAAAGACCTGGAATTAGAAAACCAAAAGTGAAGAACATGCTCACCATTCTCAAGCTGAAAGAACTGAGGGAAAAAATTAAAGCCTCAACTTCCAATAGTAAAAGATATTTTGGGCAAAATATTGAATGATGCAGAAGGCATCAAAAGAAGATGGAAGGGTCTTCCACCTATAACTGATTGGAATAGCTAAAATGGGGTTACAACTTGCCTAGTGAAGGAGGCTCCCTGTAGAGCCTTTGCATTGCACAAAACTGTAGATGGAACCCTGATCCCCATCCAGAATCTTCGGAGGTGGGAAATTTCCACTTGAAAGGAT